TAAATCACATCAGCCCGCCATTCAATGGATCTCAACTGTTGCCTTTAACGGTACAACTTCCGGTCATTAGTACTACTTAAACCTACCAATTTAACCTCATGACTAAATCTATTTGTGAACTGCTTTTCACCAAAAACCGGTGTTCGAGTCCGGGAACGTTTCACGAACACCTGGTATCACCATTAACTTTATCAATGATTAGTAGGTTTGTGATGTTCTCTATTTTCAACGTTATATTTCAATCCTGGGCAGGACCGCCTTCGTGGCCTAGTGGATACAGCGTTTGCCCGGAGAGCGATATGTCGATTGTTCGATCCCCTGGCCAAGTCATACCAAAAATATGTTAAAAGATGGCACTTGTTACCCTGATAAAGGGTTAGAAGGAGGACTGATCGGTTGCAGACACATTCTGGCAGAAGCACGAATATCACCATCCTTTGACGTCGACAGTTGTAATTTGTGAAAAAACATGAATAGTAATGAAAATGATATGGTAAGTACATGCATTTTGTACATGCCTTCAGCCAGTTCATTGGACCTGGTGACATTAATATATTTTCATATTTACCATAACGCCTGACACTCTCATCTGCAGACACCGTCCAGGAAGCACCCACGGTGTTTTTGTCTTTGGTTTTCATGGAGTTTGGCGGCACCACTTTCTCTCCAAGGGATTCTGCACCCACTATTGTCGTGTTGACATCATCGACAAGGGGAGGTTCAAGCAGAACGGTCACACCTAAGTCACACATTTCACTTTATTGATTAATTCATTCGGGGTGGAATCAGGTTCTTAAAAAAATATAGACACACAATTAAACACGCTCTTCTGAATCGCCACTTAACTGTCATAAATGTCACACATTATATCCTGATACCATAAAAATACATGTACACCTCCAGAAAAAAAGTAACACTGTGTTGTTTGATGTACTAAGCATCTTTCCGAGGCAAGGGAGTTTACTCACTATAAAAGTCGAGCCAATTTGTTTGAAGTGATATGAGTGATGGAATCTGATTGATCAGTAGGAGGTAGACAAAAACGGGACATAACTCGTAATAGCCACTGGTGGCGCTACGGTCGAGCCTGGAAATTCCAGCGTAGTTCGGCAAGGGAGGGATCTGGTCTTTTATAGTCCCTTTTACGCCCTTGCCTCGGGAAGATGTGTATGAAGGTACACACCTCTGGAAAAAGAAGAGTAACACTCTGTTGCTTGATGTATTAAGGTACGCACCTCTAGAAAAAGAGTAACACTCTACAGTGTGATGTATAAATGACGCACCTCTAGGATCAGCGTATGTTGTGACCAGTCCACCCCCGTTGGTACATCTGACGGTCACGTAGTATGTCGTGTTGTGTTCCAGGAGGCCCACAAGACCGGAGTTCATCGATCCAGGATACTCCCCAGTTGCTACAAATGTCTGCAACTCCTCTCCTCCTGGCGCTCTGCCTATCGCCCACTCGTAGTTCTGTAATGTCAAACATGTATTCCTCTAGCTAGATATTTACCCGGCTGATCATTCAACTAACTGTTAGACAATTCAGTTACATGCTAAATAACTTGCACAGGACGTTCACTTGGCCTCTTTGTCGTAGTTTCTCCATGAGTTTGGTTTAAGTCCAATATTGCAATATTACTCGACTATTAGCAATATTACAGTGATATCGCGGCAAGGGACAAGTGGGTCTCACAGATATAAGGAATCGAACTCGGTTGTTCGGTGCGACGAGCCAACGCTTTAACTACGAGGCTACTCCACTGAACCTAAACTTGAGAAATGTACATACTGATGTTGGATTCAGAATGAAAAGGATCTGTACAGCCATGCACCAATAGTTCCTGGCAGTAACTGCACATCTTTTCCCCACATTTATTTCAGGGCACGTGTAATGGTCATACACAAAAAGGATGTCTTCATTTTATAATGCTTCAGTTGGGTATCAAGGTAGACTATTTTCGTTTTCTTAAGCCCAATAGGGTGCGCTGTGCACTATTTATAGATGCATGTAATCAAGGCATGTAAGGCATGCACAGAGCCACATGGAAGCTGGCTAGGTAGCCACATGATGTGATAAAAGTGGTCAACAACTAGGTAAATACAACAGCATTTTTACTAATATCTTAGTTTTTGATGTATAATTGTGATATTATGTATTTGAATTAATTACATTGCTTCTGGTATATAACATTTTGTAATGACCATAAATTTCCTAATGTCCTAAAATCAATGTTCTTTTGCAAAGAAATCCTTTTGAGTATAGTTTATTTGTATTTACAATCTAGAGTAATGGTATTTTTAACTTTGGATTTGGTTTCACATATGAATATAATATAAGCTTTAAGTTACCACAATTGCGCTCTCGTTGTCACTGCACTTCCATATAGCCTTGATGGTGTCATTGGATCCCTGGTACGTCACAGGGGTGAAGTTGCCCTGAGCGACGTCGATGTAGAGCATGACGTCGGAGTCAAACTGTGGTGGTGACGAGTCGATGTTGAAGCCGTCAGATGACGATACTGCCTCTGTTCCAGACCCAAGGACAGCTTTCACTGAAACATGCCATGCAGGTGTTATCGGACTGGAGGAGGTCTTCTTTCTGATAGATGTACCTAATGACCTTTGTTTCAAACATGTTACTGTGTAACACAACAGTAACATTTGTACGTTTACCTTAACGGTAGCTGTGAGCATCAACGACGACCGATGTCTAAAATGTCACAGAATGATCTCGGTCACATACCATAAGCGAACGTTGTCAGTATTAGAGGACACGCACTGGTTCCATTCTGCAGCGCCCCCAGCGGGGGATACACAACAGTAACATTTGTACGTTTACCTTAACGGTAGCTGTGAGCATCAACGACGACCGATGTCTACAATGTCACAGAATGATCTAGGTCACATACCATAAGCGAACATTGTCAATATTAGAGGACACGCACTGGTTCCATTCTGCAGCGCCCCCAGCGGGGGATACATTAAATGTGTTCACTCATTGCAGCGCCTTTTTCCAAGGGACGATAAAAGTCCACGAGTAAAATGTACCCTAAGAAACATGTTGTTAATAGAGCTACTTTGTAGTAGAATGCAGGGACAACTTCTCCCTCAAATACTGTTGTTCTCTCACCTGTGAGGTAATACAATACAGGGACTACTTCTCCCTCCACGACTGTTGTTTCTGTAAGGTTGAGGTCGTTGAGGGTGATCTTGACCTGGTCTGTTGATGAGCTGTCACAAGCTGCGTCACATGTGTACATGTCACACGGTGTCAGGCAGGGGATACACGGTGTATGTACCTAGCAACACATAGAACACGTTAGAGTAAGATGACGTAACGTCACAGGGGGTCAGCCAGGAAATACACGGAATATGTACCTAGCAACACACAGATCACGTCATAGTAAGCTTACATTTCGTCACAGGGTCGTTTCGCTCATGCATGATAGTCAGTAGACCGGTCTCAGAGCGAGACACAGAATATGTCACATTCGCAATTCAGGTGATGCTACAAGTCCTGGTCGGGTACAGCAATGATCTCTACCGTCGTGCCTCGCTCCGTGTAAAGTTACAACTACCCCATTTTAAACCTCATAGTTTTGTCAACAACTTTTCCCGAGAGTGTTGTTGAACAATCTCTGCCACAGGGTATTCATTATCATCTGCAAAATTAGTTAAACAGATATTTCTAATTTCTTTGACATATTACTATTCATCTGTGTCCGATCCAGTCAACCTGTAGCTGTTAATTATCTGTGTCAACATGTGCCACATCTCACCTGCTTGTACGGCACTACATCAGAGAGACCGGAAGCTGACCCGATTCCTGCCTCATACCGAACAATGGCGTTGTTGCCTCCTTGAAAAGGGTTGCCATAGCGACACAACTTCTCCTTGTCAGCTGGCATCACAAGGTCACGGAATGAAGCCGTAGAACTCCAAACCTTCAGATGTCCTTCTGCATCTCGATCAGTGTCAGGAATATAGTTCTTATGGTTCCAGACTCCCAGGAAGAGTTTGGTGTCTGGGGAGAGACGCGGTATTCCACACTGCTCCGTCAGCAGATCCCCGTCCATGAAGACTGCCATGCACCAGGTAACCTACAACAATAAAATTTAAACGAAAATGGTTAGCATATGCCCTTTGTATGCTGACGTTACATAATCTCACAACCAGTGTAACGTACACTGAAATCAATGGAGACTGCTGTTCAGCTGTTGCAACAGAGGTGTACAGGTCTCTCGTCTGCATATTTCCCCATCTAATGTGGCAATGAAGACTTGGCCAGGCCAGGCCAGGCACCACCAATCGAAGCTTACACCCTCAAATAAATTCAGGTAAGAAGGGCAATACTAGAACTTTTCATCTGCTGATCAACACCTGAATACTTTGTCAAGTTTCTATGAAAGTGACCCACCTCTGACCCCCTTGCTTCGTCTCTCTGTGTCGTGAACTTGACAATGTACTGATGGTAATCTCTGGAGGGGTCTTGTTCGAGATCTTTCACTGCTTCTACAGGTTTGTTGAGGTAGTCTCCGTAACCACACCATGACACTAACTTGGCTGCTGCACCTATACACAGAATGGAGGAATATCATCAGTACTACCAAGGCCGACAATAACGGTGTCATACATCACATGTAATCTTCACGTAACGTCCTGACTAAAGACTAAAAGAGAAATGCAATGTACCTTCAGTACTCCCGATTAATGTATGATGGTACTTGCAATCGACCTCACAATGTTGTTATTTTAATGCTATCTGTTCAGGATCCAGTCCCTTGAAGCTTCTTCCGTCAGCTTCTTCACCTCGTAGCCATGATCATCCTCATCTACAGATCTCTTGGTACTGTATGATGGTACTGGCAATCGACCTTACAATGTCATTTTAATGCTATCTGTTCAGTTTACATGATCCATTTGGTGGCACCTGGCTACCGACAACATCTGCATTCCTCATGACAAACATATGCATGCAAACAGAAGCGAAATACACGAACCTCCAAATAATTGTACTCCACAGGCCTTCCTTGGGTTAAGATTAGGATTCCCGATGTCAGTCTTGCCGGTGATGGATCCTGTCGCTTGAAGCTTCTTCTTTTCCTCGTCCGTCAGCTTCTTCACCTCGTAGCCAGGGTCATCCTCATCCACAGATCTCTTGCTGATGTTCTTGTAGTACCTCTCCGCTTGTAGGTAAGAGTCACAGTTGCACGTACAGGACTAGGAAAGAAGGGACACATCAATAATGGGTATTAACAGATTACGGGCAGGGCAGGGCAGGGCAGGGCAGGGCAGGGCAGGGCAGGGTAGGGCAGGGTAGGGTAGGTTGTCTCTGCCCTTGTAGAAGGGATACCAAGAATAGACCTCAGGTGTTCAGCATGGCAAGTTTAACTCCTGCGCGATATCTCCGAGGATTGCCGATAGTGAGGGTAATGCAGGCTATAGCACTCCACTGTTTAGGTCAAGTGGATAGGGGTTAACGTCGCGCTCAAGATTATTGTACTTACATAGCGACCTGCATGCACTGCTTGTACAAATCAGCACTAATGCCGGTTTTAAAGAGATTTCATGCCGCAGTTTAACCGACCAGTCCTTGCTTTATCGCATTAATACCAAGCACGAGGCAGGGTAGGCAAATTCGCAAAAAACGCATTAATATTTTTCATTTACTTGCCTGTTAACATGTTTTGGTATAACGGTTTGGGATCGAACCACCAAACTTCCGCTCTCCAGACAGAACGCTATATCCACTACACCACCGTCTCCATTGTATAGGAATCTATCTACGTAAATGTAGCAGTGTTTTAGGTTATTAATAGTCAATGATAGAAAGCTGCATACTGAATTAACAGGTTCCACCCTGCAACAGGCACAGACCGACTCGGTCCAGTCCGGTGTTGGTGTGTAGTCATAGTCCAGGATGTAGTCATCTGGGCCGTCCCAGAACAGGACACTGGTGACCGCCTGACCATCACCTGCTGCAGCTCGGATAGATAGCTGAAACACACGGAGTCAGTGGGTGAGACATCAGTAGTAATGTTAGTGATACAAGGCTAAGGTTGGGCTACGACAGTGATGTAAAGTAAGGATTAAATCGCAAGTGATACATCTTTCAGCAGACATCTGAGTAATACTGATTAAATCCAATAACTGCTTGTCATCATAGTCTACATAAGAAGTTGCTTACAAAATCAATCACTGGTATAGTATAGTAAAGTATAGTATAGTATAGTATAGTATAGTATAGTATAGTATAGTATAGTATAGACCAGATTATATACATGACGCCTCGTTACAGCTAGAATATTGCTGACTGTTGAGTATAACAATAAACAAACAAAGAAGCAAATTTTGCCGATAGCTCCCTCGCACTCCCCGCAATTAACAAGGTCACAATATTTATTTTTCATAGATTGGGCTACAACAGCGATGTACAGTGAGAACAGATCGGAAAACTCAACATTGATAGACTAGACTATAAGGGTTAACTGTTTGTATGTGAATACCTTACACTCCCCCATCCCATTGACAAGGTCACAGTAACGTTTGCCTTTGCCATAGATTCGAAAACTTAATTTGGGTGGACTACGGACAAGATCTATGTGACAGTTTGTATCTTAATACCTCATACTCCCCGCAGTTTACAAGGTCAGCATCTCTGAAGTAGGTTCCAGAAAACATGGTGTCAGTCTTGGTGTCTCGGGAGAGTTTGATGTCCACTTTGCCGGACTCGGGATGGACGTTGGCTGATCTGTAGGTCAAGGTCAAGCTACGGTTGTTGCTGTCGTAGTTCCGGTCTGACTCCAGGTACTTCCATTCCGAGTCATCAAATGTGACCTTTCTGACAGGACATGGAGACATGTCTGGCACAGGGTGGTGTAGGAATGTGCCTGCAGACAGCAGAAAGTAAGTGCTTAAAATCAAGTAATTTGACAAAAGGTTTGAGCAACATTGTAGTGAATGGATGAGTGAACGATACATTCAGCAAAAAATACGACCATAGTGCTGTGGCTCGTAAATAATTGATACTAGAGAACACAACCTAATAGTTGGTCCCTGAAAAAGTAGGACAGTCACACAATGTAGGCACTCAAACATCACTTCAGAGAAAATACAAAAAAAGAAACTGGATGAGATAATACTATTTGTACAGATGGCTCATGTGTGATAAGCTTAGATACAGTGGACCTCCTCTTCCTCGGACGGCTCAAAATATTGACACAATCCATAAAGAACCCATTCCATCAATTAACCAAAATATATCACAGTGTACAATCCCACTTAATCTGATTGTAGCGTACGTGTCATCTATAACTTCAACCGTTTTGCATAACACTGTACACTGCATCAGAAAATAAAAAAACCCTTCTCTGCGCCTAAGTGTATGGGTTACCTGTGACGGTGTTGGCAGAGCTGCTCCAGCTGATGTCGTGAGTGAAGTCATGTCCGTCGATGACGAGGCCGGAGGTTGGGAGGGAGTTGTCATACAGGACTGGTGGAGAGTCTAATGTCGACTTGAGACCAGCAAAGTTCTCCGCCACGAGACGAACAAAGTAGGGAGTGTTGCCCTGAAAGAAAAAAATGTGAAAATTCAATATCTTCCAGGATGGGTCCGTAGACGTGTCAAAATCTACATCCAATTCTTGTAAATCACCAACCTGCATAGTGATGTCCATGAATTTATACGACGTGTAGTTGACATCAATCTCTATGGAATCTACGACAGTTTCTTCCGCCGAGTCTTTGTCACAGGAGGCTCTCTTCAGCAGGGCAGCGTGGTAGCAGCGGATCCCCGAGTCTTCATCACTGAAGTCTGTCCAGTAGGTCTGAAGACTCTCACTGCTCGCCGAGTAACTCAGTTTCTGGCGAATGGAACCATACATTTTAAACACCATACATATCCTTTGTGTTCATTGCCCAAAACTATGATTTATATAACCTAATCCATTTCTTCACGAAATAAAATATGATTATATAACCTTTTCTTAACCTTTGGGATTTTTCTTCCAAGAATCTATCTATTTCTAAACTCAGGCGAAAACCAAAATATTAAGTATTCAAGATCTGAAAAAACGGTAAGTATTATATGAACTATGTAATACATATATATGTTCAACACATGTGTCTTACATTTGCATATACATGTGCCATTTACAGACAAATACAGTTGTACATTTTGTTTGGGTACACTCATTATGCAATTTAGTCAACTAAAACGTGTTGCATACAGACAATGCAGCCATCATGACATTATTCTGACACTCAAAAAGCAGTCCAACACAAATCCAGATACAGTGAGACCTAGGCCACTTGCACAAAGCCATCTCAGCGCTAAGATGATCGTAACTCCAATACTTTAACATAGGCTTACGATAGATTTAGCGCTAAGATCGCTTTGTGAATGTGGTCCCTGCTGATCTTGATCGAAATGATCAGTCAGGATAGAGCCCGTTCGTACTCAATTGTCTGTTGTTTAATCATTGAGATATGAACTTGGGTAATCTGCCCCTCAGTCCAAATTCATGCAAATCTGTTAAAATACCATGTTTCCACGTTGTATCATATGCCTTCTCTAGGTCGAAAAACATTGATTGTTTGTGCAAGTGGGCTCATATTCAGAAAACCCTATACCCAGTTGAAGACTATGACACTGGCTTCAGCAGAATTTGCAATGGCACTAGGATTTTTTGTTACTACTCTGCTTGTCTCGAACTACTGATTATTCGACATATATCGGTTGCTCTAAAGACCCACGAGGAATCACCGTGTTTGCATGTGTTATGAGGTATATATCACGAGGAAGCATTGAATGAAGTGGGAGTTGGACCCCTGTCACATACCATGTCATTATAGGGCCCTGTTCTGATCCTGCCTTTGACTGGAGGTGTGACGTCCACATGGAACATGCGACTAGTCACGTTGCACTCTCCCGCCTTGTCAGCACCTGGCGTAGGGAGCACATTCATGATACGAAACGCAGGGAAGTCGCAAAATAAGGGATAAAGATTTTCACAAATGCCTCTGACACAGTTTAACCACATTTTGATATCCGTATCTAGCTAGAGATGCATGGGATATCACTAATTGGAATTAAATTACAGGTTTTTGTGGCATGAGATGAGTAGGACTTCAGAAAACAATACGTACATCTAGGTTGATAAAAAGGCAAATATATCAACAAAACACAGGTATATTAATGTTGAAATATAGTTCCTCAGTCAAAATAAAAAAAACAACAACAATGATTTAGACCTCAGTGAGTTTAAGATACATCTGTTTTTTGTTTGTTTTTTATTTTAACGCCGCACTCAGCAATATCCAAGCTATATGACGGCGGTCGGTAAATAATCGAGTCTGGATCAGACAGCCAGTGATTGATATCATGAGCATCGATCTATGTAATTGGGATACGATGACATCTGTCAACACAGCAAGCCTGACCACCCGATCCCGTTAGTCGCCTCTTACGACAAGCGTGGGTTGCTGAAGGCCTATTCTAACCTGGCTCGTCACGCGTTAAGATATATGTGAATTACAACCCAATCCCAAGAAAACGTGCTAAAAGACGGTAACGTATTTAAACAACACATACCTTTCGACAATTATGAGTCATTAGCTTTAAACACGTGTGCATCACTCTGTACTACGTCATTATTGACGGTGGTCGAGTGATGCACATAAAGCGGTTCTTCTCAATCTAACGTACCGATACCCCAAGCATAGTAGACTCCATTCTGTTCCAGAGACAGATTTTCAAACTTCGTAAATGTGTTCTTTCCGACATTTTGTAGATCCACAATGTTGAAGATACCTTGTCGCTCATCGTCAGTGATGGAGCCTCTTTCAGTCTGAAACATACCGCCAACATTAGCGTCCTCCGAATCGTACACCACGCAGGGATTTTGCAGCAGAAACTGCATTACATATACGTAGTATTGGTTTGCGAGGGTTATCTCTACTCACAAACTGTCCACATCTATAGTTGTCCGCCTCCGTGTTGTTGGACAGGCCCACGTAGTACATCATCATGCCAATCCTGGATTCGAACCCGTCCCACGCTACATCTATGTAGGTGTCAGTGTTGACAAATTCCTTCATGTCGATGAGACCGGCTGAAACACAAGGCGAAGTGGTGTTCAGTAACGTGGATCGATACATTCACCCATTCATGACAATGTTTCATCAACAAATCCGGCATAAGCAGCACATAGATCGTACATGCAGTGTCTGGAGTTTCATTTTCATTTCTTTTAAAAGTAAGTCATTCGGTTTTATGTCCTTACAGTGAGTCACCAATTAGAGCCCAATGTGATTTAAATACTTGTTTTGTACGTCTGCTGAATATAGGAATACATTGTAAATTGTGATTAGGAACTAATCCTAAGTCGGACATGTTTACCTCTAATGTTCTTAGCGCTGTGTTTAAATCCTAAAAGGAAACGGAAGGTTTGGTGTTTCATCTTTTTATCACTTTAAACAAATTTAAAGTGTAATTAATGATCTAATGAAAAATGTCTACTTTAGTGTTTAAAATACAGGGTAACTACATGTGAATGTTACGCAGGCTTTGTAGCATAGAGATATATAATATTTGTTTCTACAAGTCCTAGAAAAGTGAAGGTCTCACCGGAGACTCCTCCATCAAAGCCAACAGAGAAGCCATTGGACGTGACGTCAGTCCTAGACCCGGAGCGGCTGTGTGCTCTCACAGTGAAGTAATACATTGCCGTGATTGGGGTGAGGTCAAGGTCGTAGAAGGTCACAGTCTTGTTAAGGCCAACGTTGACAAACGCTACAACGTTGTCCCGTGTTTTGGGGAAACGGCGGTCAGTTCCAAGGGCAACCTCGTAGAAAGCGACTTCTTGGTTAGAAGATTTCTCTTTATCCTCATCGAGAACGTTCTCTACCAAAAGGAAAACACCGTTGTTTCAAAACAATACCTAGAACGCGCTTCTATGATCATAAGAAACCTCTGCTAAAAGTGCAGGCCATTTTACCATTCCGATCATATCATAATCTTGTGTTTATGGATTCCAATCAAATACTAGTATTGATGCTGTTGATGTTCGCAAAAAACGGGAAGTATTCTGCCCAACGTGCAACTCATTTGTTCTGCTGAACAAACACAGAAATGGAGTAGTTTACCTAACTTTGGTCACTTCTTATTTGGAAAACTCTTCATGAAATCTTTATGCACATATCTCAATATGAAACAGATGAGGGGGTTTCACTGGTCTCTTATATTTCTAGCTCAAGTGAGTAAATCAGCGAACTGGCTATTTGGCCATTATTGAACAATATCAGATCATCGATGTTCCTGAAGCTTAAGTTAAAAGTCTTGGCTAAATTTCCTTGTTTTGATTTTGCCAATAAGAGCAGAAATTCCGGTTCGTATGCCTAAATTGTGAGGAACACAGTTATACCCATGCGGATGCTCACTTCGTGCCTGGTGTCACATATCATGTTCTCAGTATATTTCAGATACAGAGACAGGAAAAATGGATTTATACTTAAAAGTATACAACTTTTTTGTATATTTCTGATCATCATTTGACTATATGTCATCATACACAACTTCTTAGCAAATAGGTGATCTAAAGTCAACATTTTATTCTTAAATATGATCTAACCAGCTTTTATTCCTGTTGACACTTCGTCAGCGTTGTCATCGCTGCCAAACTTGTCCCAGTTGGCGCTGACTTTACTTTTGGTTCGGAGGAACTCAAGGTCAAATCCCACGACATCTCCATCATTGACCTGTCCAGGCACCAGGGGGTCATCCTCGATGGTGATGCCGTTCGACCTGATGGTGTAGGTGTAGTCCATGGCGTTGGTCATCCGTAGGTACTGGTAGTAGCGTTCCATGTTCTGCATGCTCAGCTGGTCGTTGACGCCATGAGTTCTTCCTGGAATTGCAGGAAGCATTAGTTCCAGTAAAATAAAAGCTGAATCATCTCAACATATATAAAAATGATAAAAAACATTAAGCCCCTTTTCAATCGACTTCTCCATCTCTTCACCCATTTTTTTAAGAATGCGAAATAAAGTTATTATTACTTTCATCTGATGAGTAATGTCCTAAATGAAAAAGTTTCATCTCGACCACCAATCATATATTTTGGAAATAAATCAGTCAAAAGAAAACCAAAAGAATACACGTGATCAATGCCCACCTTCTGTATTGAAATACTCCTGGACCCTCAGACCGTCAGCCCTTTGTATTGCCCACTCATACTTGACCACTGGACACGGGTCACCTGACACGTCCCACTTGGCCCCCATTCGGGACAGACTTGTCTGGAAGTCACTGTAGAGAAACAAGGTCAACTACAAATTAGACACTGAATTATCTTTGCATATGAAGATGATGATATTACCTGACACTTGGCGTTTTCTCAGTGTATCTTGTGGATCTGAATTGTTGGTATCATGCTTTGAAACAGACATTCATGAAGCTGTGTTCACAGACAATACTCACAGGTCTCCATCGTGACTGTCGCCATCCCAGATTCCAACATGAGTGAGCGGCTCCAAGCCCTGACTGAGGTAGGACATGTAGATACCATTGGACGTGGATATTGTGCTGAGACCAGCTCCATTGGTAGCTTTCACTGTCACAAATATCTGTAATTTGAAATTCATCATTGGATGCGGTGTGTGTGCCTAGTAAATGGAAACTTAGATTCCACTGTTAAGCTTATAGAAGTGATGGTGGGAATACACTACCCATCTTGTGGGCATGACACAAACTACATATACAACTCAGGGATATACCTTTTGCTCTATTATACACCAAACGAATTGTGTATATTAGTATGAACAAAATTTCTCATTGTAGTGTGTGTTATTCCTGCTGTATGACGGCGGTCCTGTACGTAATCGAGTCTGGACCAGACAATCCAGTGATTGATATTACACGCAACGCTCAGCGCCGTCGGGATACGGTGACACACCATCATCCAAGTCATCAATCCTGCCCACCTGATACATTTGGTCACCCCTTGCGACAAACATAAGTTGGGGAAGTATTCTAACCCGGAGTCCTCATGGAGAATTCAAAATATAGGGTTACATTTTTGACTTCACGGTGTTTCAACATATGCACTATGTTCGGCTATAAACTATTCATGTACTCGCAGACACTGAGTTTAGAGTCAGTTATGATTTATAAAATGTATTGGAAAAACAGTTAGATATGTATCAGCTCTAAAGAGACAATATGTGCACACTCAGCATTCACAAGTCATGTCTCATCTCACCTGTCTCACTCCCTTTAGTATCAGGCCCGTTACTGACAGGTATCTCTTTGTGACGTCATCAGTCTCAAAGAACCCCCTCAGCTGTCCCCCTCCAGCTGAAGTGCCAACAGCTATCTCGTATCTGGAGAAGCCCAAACCGTCAAAATCAGAGGCAACAGTAAGGGTAAAAAATATGTAGCGTATGCACTAAGGTCTTTGGGTTTCTTCATACTTTAGTGAGTGAGTGAGTGTGTATGGTTTTACGCTGTTTTAGCAAAATTACAGCAATATCACGGCGGGGGACACCAGATATGGGCTTCACACATTGTACGAATGTCGGGAATCGAACCCGGGTCTTCGGCGTGACGAGCGAAGGCTTTAACCACTGGTTACCCGACCACTGCATTCAGTGTCGTCATATGCTTGAATTATTGTTCACAACTACACTGACCCTACTGACCCACTCTATTATATAACGCTTGGGCACTACATCTACATGCCGTCACATAACTGAATAAAAGCCACAAAACCCTTTCCATAATCCTAAGAATTTTTTGATAAAATTGCAAAGTCCATTGTACGATTCCGACTATATCATGCTGATTATGATGGCAGGAGTTCGCGAAAAGGTGAGCGAATCCTGACCCACCGGTGGCACTGTCCAGAGTTCAAAATAATCTTGAATAATATATGTAATGTTTAACGCGGCACTAAACCCATCAATTCATTTCCGCACGCTTAAACAATACATGAAAACGCCGTAGTACGACTCAAATACTGGTCCACACCACTCGATCATTTATTAACAATTTGACCATGCTAAATGTGTATCCTGTCAGATATTGCAATATATCTGATTCAGAACATATTTAATGACTGTCATCATGACGTACTTGACAATCTCCGTCTCGTCATCAGCGAAAGTCTGCCAGGCCACGTTGACAGTGGACAGAGACTCCTGGCACACCGCGTCTATAGCCAGGCAGTCTGTGGACATACAGTTGTGAAGGCTGTAGTAATGTTACACATAGTGTACACGATAGTAATGTAACACAGTGTAGGATGTAGTAATGTAACACATAGTGTAGAATGTAGTAATGTAACACATAGTGTAGGATGTAGTAAAGTTACACATAGTGTAGGATATGGTAATGTTACACATATTGTAGAATGTAACAATGTAACACGTAGTATAGTATGTGGTAATGTAACACATAGCGTAGGGTGTAGTAATGTAACACATAGTGTAGGATGTAGTAATGTAACACATAGTGTAGGATATGGTAATGTTACACATATTGTAGAATGTAGCAATGTAACACATAGTATAGGATGTAGTCATGTAACACATAGTGTAGGATATGGTAATGTTACACATATTGTAGAATGTAGCAATGTAACACGTAGTATAGGATGTAGTATTGTAACATATAGTGTAGGATATGGTAATGTTACACATATTGTAGAATGGAGTTTTGTTACACATAGTGTAGGATGTAGTAAAGTTACACATAGTATAGGATGTAGTAATGTAACATATAGTGTAGGGTGTAGTAATGTAACACATAGTGTAGGATGTAGTTATGTAACACTTAGTGCAGGATGTAGTTATGTAACACATAGTGTAGGATGTAGTAATGTAACACATAGTGCAGGATGTTGTTATGTAACTCATAGTGAAGGATGTAGTAATGTAACGCATAGTGTAGGATGTAGTAATGTAACACATAGTGTAGGATGTAGTAATGTAACACAGTGCAGGATGTTGTTATGTAACTCATAGTGAAGGATGTAGTAATGTAACGCATAGTGTATGATGTAGTAATGTAACACATAGTGTAGGAGGTAGTAATGTAACAGATAGTGTAGGATGTTGTAATGTAACTCATAGTTTAGGATGTACTTATGTAACATATAGTGTGGGATGTAGTAATAAAGCACATAGTGTAGGATGTAGTAATGTAACACGTAGTATAGGATGTAGTAATGTAACACCTAGCGTAGGATGTAGTAATATAGCACACAGTGCAGGATGTAGTAATGTAACACCTAGCGTAGGATGTAGTAATGTAACACCTAGCTGTGGATGTAGTAATGTAACACATAGTGTAGGATGTCGTAATGTAACACCTAGCGTAGGATGTAGTAATGTAGCACATAGTGTAGGATGTAGTAATGTAACACCTAGCATAGGATGTAGTAATGTAACAAATAGTGTAGGATGTAGTAATGTAACACCTAGCGTAGGATGTAGTAATGTAGCACATAGCATAGGATGTCGTAATGTAACACCTAGCGTAGGATGTAGTAATGTAACACCTAGTGTAGGATGTAGTAATGTTGCACATAGCATAGGATGTCGTAATGTAACACCTAGCGTAGGATGTACTAATGTAACACATAGTGTAGGAGGTACTAATGTTACACCTAGCGTAGGATGTACTAATGTAACACATAGTGTAGGAGGTACTAATGTAACACATAGTGTAGGAGGTACTAATGTAACACATAGTGTAGGAGGTACTAATTGTTCACCTAGCGTAGGATGTACTAATGTAACACATAGTGTAGGAGGTACTAATGTAACACATAGTGTAGGAGGTACTAATGTAACACATAGTGTAGAATGTAGTATTGTAACACATACACTCATAGTGTAGGTTGAGTGATGTACATATAACTAAAGACAACTAATCGCGTGAATGGAAAGTATTTACTTGGGATCGTTCACTTTTATGCAACTCTTGCAGAACAAAATTCAGTATCAACAAAACTGAAATGGAACTATCTTCTATTCCATTTGTTCAAACGTAGAGGTTATTTATTTATAAACCTGGCAAATAACATCTTTAAAATAGGCTCGGTTCATGACATGAGCAATGCATCGAAATATGTTTATGTGGCAAAAAGACTGGCATCAATCACCTGTGCAACCAGGGATACCTTTGTGATCGTTTGTATGATTATTCTTGCATACAGGTAACTGCTCTACTTACACAGGTAAACGAAAACCAATCTCTGCATTGGGCATGTCCACTGTTACTCAGAACCAGTAAAATAATCACATACATGATGGGCCGTCATGCTACAATGTATATCTATGTAGAAATAGATTAATGACATAATGGTGGTGCCAACCTTCTTGTGTGTCACACTTGTAGGTGTTGAGTTTCTCGGTGATGATCTCGTCGGTGACGTTGATGATGTAGACAGACTTCAACTCCACCACAGTGCCCGGCGATGGGGGTGTGGTGTCCACGTTGATGGCGTTTGAGATGCTAGACGACGTCATTCCTACTTGGTTGATGGCCTTGACCTTGGCATAGTATCTCTGACCATGGGCCACCTTATCAGCTAAGCCTAAGTATGAAAATGTTTACACTTCATAACCAGCTGTTGTTTTCTTCATCACATTATGTATTATTATATCTGATTTCTTTTCTTTAACAAAAATATGAAGGATAATTCTAGAGCACAATAATAATTCTTGCATGGAGTATCGGAAAGGATCTTAGAATGTTGAGATAAACAGGCAAGTTATTACAGGAATTGAACATAGTTTAGACAAAAGGTTCTCCATTCTGTACCTGAGACTAGATATTTGGCAGCATTTCCCGGCAGTTTGACAGGTGCTATGACGTCCTCCAGCCCCTCATGGGAGCCAACAGCGAACTCAAACTCTACAACCTGACTCTCGGCATCGTAGAACCCTGTCCATGTGCACTCCACGGCAGATCTCGGCTGTAAACGTGTATGGCAAGAATATAACATCAGCCAGACATGGCAATGGACAAAAAGAAACATCAGCTCATGACAGTTCACAGTGGCTCGTAATGTAAAATAGTACATATATTTATATAACCAATACAAAATAAGTGTCCCACCAGGCGAAAGGGGACCCTGTGGGGCTAGGATGCCATTGTGCTGTGACGTCAACTTATTTCAATGCACATCACTATCTGTGTGGACTGTACAAAATATCATATTTTTCTCTCGTTTGTTCGTTATGCAATAAAAACATTACAAAACCTTTCAGCATACATACCTGCTTTCAATTCATCAGACATTATGTAAAAAAAATTTTTTCCATAAACAATTATAAGTAAGAAAATGTGTCGAAATGTTTGATGTCATGTGTCTTTGAATAAATATGAAATGTAGCTTGTGAACTGTATTTTTGTGTGCAGAAGATGCTGTAGTTTTAAAATATAATTAAAAGTTAAAATGTGATTTTTCACCAATAAGGTCAATTATCAGGTCAATTAGTCAAATGTGTTGTATGTTAACTTTGTCAGGTCAAGTTGACATTGTTGAAAGTCGGGAACACCTAAATTGAGAGTGAGTGAGTGAGTGAGTGAGTGAGTGAGAGAGTTAGTGAGTGAGCTACCATGTTTAAATAATCAAGTCAGAGTCTGATCACCCATTTCAGTATGAGGTATTTAGTTTGTGGCGTACTCTGACCAGGATTTCGCACAGGAGATTGACCCTAAGGTCATAGGTAATACCTGAATGAAGCCTGGACATGTCAACACCCCCTCTGTTGGTGATGAGGTGTCCACCACAAGATAAGGGGAGATAATGCTAGCAGACAACCCAAGTTCATTTTCGGCTGTCAGAGTCAGAATGTTTGGTTTTCCTGAAACATATATTTGATACAATTGTTCTACTTTTTCAACATTTGTAATTCAAGTCAGCATCGAAGATATTGAACAAATACACAACAAAAAAACAACATTCGACACCGATAAAAATACTCCTCGTGTCCGATCAAAGGAGACGTCAGTGTTATGATTTCTGTTTATTTTATATATCCTCTTATTGGAACGCCATCAATAACTCATACTGCATTGGTTTCAGCATCATACAGTCAGTACGTTGTATCTCTACTCGCAAAGTATATTCTCGGTCTCAATTAGTCTCATAAGTTTCTAATTTCATAATTCATTAGTTTATTCTTCATCACTGCCAGTTCTTACCGTCAGTTGTGGGTTTGATGCCAGTGGGTAGCGCCCCCTCGCCGGTCAGCAGGATCTCCACGTCAGTCCGGGGCTGGACATCCTCCCCGTGGGGGTAGGTCCCCACAGAGTAGTACATCTTCTTGACTGGACTCTCACTGTCTGCAGCCCTCCAGGAGGAGGAGATGGAGTCCACCTCAGTCTGGTACAGTGTCGTGGTAGGGGTCAGTCTGCTCTGGTTGTTCTCAGGACCATAGCTGCCAGGGAAACATGGACAATGTTTAGTTGACGTACATAGCTTTTGTGAGGGGTTGCTCTGGTTGTTCTCAGAACTATAGCTGCGAGGGAAACAGTGACAATGTTTAGTTGACGTATATAGCGTTTGAGACCAGATTGATATGGTTGTTCTCAAAATTATAGCTGCGAGGGAAACATGGACAATGTTTAGTTGACGTATATAGCGTTTGAGACCAGATTGATATGGTTGTTCTCAAAATTATAGCTGCGAGGGAAACATGGACAATGTTTAGTTAACGTATATAGCGTTTGAGACAAGGTCGATATGGTTGTTCTCTGAGCCATTATTCAATTACACCACACACATTGCTGACCGACAATGGCTGATTAACGATGCATGATGTAAGTCTAACTATTTAACTATCACACTGCAACTTGTCAACTTGTATTTTATGTAAGGAAAATATTCGTCATTTGTATCAGTCTGACTGCATCACGTATTCAATACAAGGAAACGGAGGTTGTTGGGCATCCCCAAGAAACATACATACCGAATAATTATTGCATATATTGATATTTACCTTTCGATGTGAATGTCAGGAGGAGTAATATCAACAGTAAACCCATCTGAAGTAGATTCCAGGATGTTGCCTGCGTTGGTGATGCCCCGGACTGTGGTGTAGTATGTCGTGCCGGACGACAGCGGTAGAACAGCCTGGCCAAACCCCATGCTGGAGATACCTGGACAATATATAGTTAAGTATTTGTAACAGGGACTTCTTGAATAATATACACATTTTAAAAACAAACTCAATAGTACTTGAGCATGTGTATATTCCAAAATATTCTTTAAAATCACATTATGTTTCGGCCGCTGCAATCATGTTAAATCATTTTGTAAGGTATCGAGAAACATGTCAGTAAAGAAGAATGCATGTTGTTATATGGCAGAAGATATTATACGTTTATTTGTTGTGATTGTCAGTGGCAGCACATGATTGAAGCGGTGATACAATATCGAGTGCTATTGTGGCCAGATTTTAAAAGGAAGTGTGATTAGAGTTACCAAACTTTGCACGCATGATCGCCCGAGAAGTCGCGTCGTGTAACTGTACCTTTACAAGAACGAGGTCGCTTTGAAGCCTTTAACGACCTGGATTGTGGATTATCTACTTGGATTAGACACCCAACTGAAAACACCGAATCCCTACCAACTACCAAAACAATTCCGGATTCAATAACAGAGACAGCGACACATTCTGAACACTCCTTGGTGCACTCACATTAATTCTGGGACGCGTAACTCATTCCTGCTGCCACCTAATTGACCCATTGTATTGGCCTATGTGATTGTAAACCTAAAACTGTGCGCTTCAATACAACTTGTTGATTTATTTATTTGTGTTGTCATTTTCTCATTTCACAATTTACTTCCGTATTCCAATTCCAATTTCTCAGTTTCAATGTGGGAATCACCTCAATGAATCATTTTGAAGATAAGAATTCAAAACCTTTTGGTGTCTGCTGATGTTCGACCTACCATTTCCAGGAACATTGGTCTCTGATTCTTCATGTATGAGACCCGCCATGATGAACGGTTGCACTTCCTCGCCACCAGGTGTCGTGCCTACCGCCCAGTCATAGTACGTCACACCGTGCTCGTGGCTCTCAAACCCGTCAAACTGTACAGTCACAACTCCCGCGTCCTTCTGGTAGTCCATGTCGCTACCGATGCCGATGAAGTTGTCTCTCTCGGTTGTGTCAGCGCCGTCGATGACAATACCTTGGGATAGAGATTCATTTTAGTTTTCGTATATGAAGAAATGCCAAACTTGTGTAATTCTTTTTCTGATCGATAGTGGCGACGATGACGTTAACGATGATGACGATAACTACAACGAAGCAGATGACCAATTACCCAAATGAATATACATACCTGCCTTGTCCTGGTCAACCACCCGCATTGGGTTTGATGTGATGACGTCACTGGTCAGACCAGCTCCATTGCTCGCCTTCACAGACACAAAGTAAACTGGGGTCATCGTGTCAAGGTCGGTCACGGTCAACGTCAACTCGTCCATGTATTTGTCTCTGTCAGAACCAAAGTCCTTCCAGTTTAGGACATCAGTTCCGCATGAAAATATTGTTTTGTAAAATAAACGAACCAATATTTGTTTGTTTGTTGTTTAGCGTCGCACTCAATTTTCCAGCTATATGACGGCGGTCTGTAAATAATCCAGTCTGGAGCAGACAATCAAGTGAGTGCAATGTAATCATGAGCATCGATCAACGCAATTGGAATACGATGACATGCATCAATCAAGTTTTCGAGCCTGACCACCCGATCTCGTCAGTCGCCTCTTACGACAAACATAGTCGCATCTTGCATGGATTGCTGAAGATCTATTCTAACCTGGAGCTTCACGGGTACAAACCAATGTCTGATATATACTTCTCAAAAGAAGTAAATGGACCATGATTATTTCATATTACTATTATTGCCATTACAGATGAACTATAACAGTATGAAAGTATCGGGTCTTTGAAATGACAGATTAACTGTAGTAATATGAAAGAATCGGGGGTCCTTAATTTCTTTTGAGCAGCATACATCTGACATTGGTTCGTTAAAATTGGTTAGCAAAGTTATGTTCGGATAGATTATGATGACAACATTGTGTTCTTCATAGTTGGGGAATACAAACCTTGAGTGGTTCCAATGGCCACCATGTACGACTTGATGCCACTCTCACTGTCCTTGGCAAACCAGGTGGCCTTGATACCGCTAGTATCAGACTGTGTAACGTAACCGTCAATTAACTCTTCGTCATTGCCAGAGAAAATGCCAACGTCGACCCATTTCATCTGAAACGAAGAAGGTTGGTGAACCTTAGAACATGAATCTGAGGAAGTTTACGGGAAACCTATTTGAGTGATGGTACACCTACTGTCAGATTCGGTGACGGTAACCAAACTCTTCAGGCTTAGCTGAAAGTCAGATCATAGGTACGCGTCCCTTATCAATGCTAGGATCGGTTTGTCGATATATTATGAGCATTGGTCGGTCATGACCAAGCCCGACAGGTTTTATGTAAGCTGCAAACGTCTTTGAATTTTGTCGCACACTAAGATTCCACATAACGAATAATAAAATACTGTTTTAAACATTAAACATTAATATATTTAATTATACTGCTGCCATTAGTTTATGGTCTGTAGGATCGGGGCTGATGGCTACTGCATTACTTTGTCACACTGAATATCCCGTTCCATGGCTACAATGTGGCTCTGGCGTGTTTATATAGAGGAAATTATCAGAGTGTTCATGTCATAGTATGTTTACGACACGAGTGTCTAAATTCCGGTATTAGCCGAGCGAGAGAATAATGTTCTTTTTTTACCGGAGAAGATGTCTACATACAGAAACGAATATTAGTATTTACCTATAAGGACAACAAGTCGCACCAGCAGCGGAACCATAATTTCTCGTGTGACGTCATTCCGACTTCACGTCACAATAAGATTCGAATGACGTCAACAAAAAGCCGTCCGGATGACGGAAACAATACACTGTTTTCTTGACCCTTATATGACCCTAGGACACATGTGATTTTTACGAACTGATATGTTTTTAGGTTATAAATTGAAATACTGCTGAAAGCTGAGTAAACTCACACTCACTCATTCTAAGGTACCGAGGACTAAGTTATATAAAAAACTTTACTCTTCATGCAGAAGAGTCGACTACCCTCATTAGTAGATTACGTGAAGACCATTGAATAACAAATACTGAACAATTGCTCAAGTATGTCCGGAGTATAACGTTTTCTTGCACATTTAAAATAAGACACTTCCGTATGTAGGTTATATTTCTTACCTTAGGTGGTGTCTTATCAACAAGCACACCGTTTGTGTCGTAGATGGCGACGGCCCCGGCTCTGTTGACGGCCCCGACTCTCACACTGTACTGAGCGCCTGGTCGGAGACTTAAGCCAGACTTCATGACACTGGTGCTGCCTGGGTCGCTGGTGATCTCCCAACCTTCTGAGCCTGCAACAGTCAGGAAATTTAGCCACGAACATGTATTTTCAAATTATTTATCATGATGTCCCGTTATGAAAATATGAGTCATGGACCATTTAGTGATCTAATGCACCGCAATTTTATGCGCAGATTTACGGCCCTTAGCCGTGTCATGATCCGCTGGTCGTAGGCTCGAATGGATACGTAGGTCCGTCAGCGCCATAACCGTGCTTGTGGTTACATTTGTTTTCCTCAACCATTAAGTTTACAAATCGCGATAATACTAAAATATTGTTTACGCCGATTCTCTCACTTACAAATAGCCCTTAAATCGTCATCACGATTTCGATGTAAATATTTTCAGCATGAGACACCTTTTGAAAGGCCCTTGAACGTATCCATGTCAAAAACGGTTGTGTTAAAGTTATGTAACAAGATCACTAACCCGGGTAGATTTGAAGTTTTGCCCCATGGAAAAGCTCATACACCTGGTATTTGAAATGGTCCAACCCAGATTCGTCATCTTTAAACTTGAAGTTAGCTTCAACAGTAGTGCCAGATATCTGCGAGGAGATAACATGACATATATAATTAACAAAAAATGGGTGATGTTAAAGCCATTTCGCAGCAGCCTCCACTGTACCCACTGTGGTACTGGCCGTGCAAACCACAGGTAGATAACATTTTATGATAGGACAGAGCCATTGGTATATTCGCACCAGTATCTCTGTTCAAACTAACCGACACGAGAAATTTATATTTCAACATACACATAGAGAATTTCACCCGAGCGTCTTTTGATATCAAATATATCAACACGAGTTAATAAAAACGGAAAAATTCCGAGGCTTGCCGAGTTATTTTGCCAAGAGATTCTATTCATCATCCAACATCATTCTTTCAACTTTTTCAATTTGTAGACAGTAATTAGCAGTGTCTTCAGTGTAAAATGTACTGTAACAGCTTCAGTAGCAGAGCCATTGGTGATGTCATTTGATTGTGACGTCATGGTAACCAGTGACGTCACAATGGTCTGCAAAGCACTGTGATGTAATTTCATCTTCTGTGGGATCCAGTTTTGGATGATAACAACGAATCAACGATGGCACCATGTGTTCCCGAAACTCAATATATTTCGTGGTGTGAGTATAGATGTTACTGGGAAACACTCAACAACCCTCCATGATTTAAGGAGTATTCCAAAACAATATATACCAAAAATGAGATTACGTGGTACAGTTGTGTACAGTCTCATCCATTTCCAGTTGTAAAATATATTCCTTAGCTAAATTAATTCCAGCTTGTACAGTTTCAATTAAAACACTCAGTTAAGTATGTAGTTGTCATGACAAGGATGTGTTTGTTTGTTTCTTGTTTTACGCCGCACTCAGCAATATTCCAGCTATATGGCGACGGTCTGGAAATAATCGAGTCTGGAACAGACAATCCAGTGATTGATATCATGAGCATCGGTCCACGCAATTGGGATCGATGACATGCTTCAACCAAGTCTGCGAGCCTTACCACCCGATCCCGTTAGTCGTCTCCTACGACAGGCATAGTCTTCTATTACGGTCATGAGTGCTGAGGTAGGGGGTACACACATAATAACAACAATAACCGCGAAGATCCGGGCTAGAGTAGGTCTTCAGCAGCCCATGATTGTCGTAAAAGGGGACTATGCGGCGTTAAACAACAAAAACCCCAAACAATACATGATAACAATAATAGGAAATCAAGTGCTTGCAATGTAATCATGAATATCGATTCACACAATTGGGATACGATGACATGCATCAACCAAGTCGCCAGCCTGACCACCCGATCCCGTTAGTCGCCTCTTGCGACATACATAGTTGTCTTTTACGGCAACCATGAGTTGCTGAAGACCTTATCTACCCCGGATCTTCACGGGTCTGTGGAGGACAGACAAATCAAAATGTGAGACTATCTGTAATCCGAGTAGCGGAGAATTTCAAGAAAAGCGGAGACAACACATGACATCCAATGCATGCACCGTGATTGGGGTTAGTTAAAACCCATCTGGGTCTCCGCATCTTTGACATCTGAAGATCCAGACCACACCATTGGTGTCAAAAATAATGAAAGGTAGATACATCTATAGTTGAATGTTTGCTTAATGCGTCAGTTTTTATTATACAATGGGACAGTAAACGGTTGAATGTTTGCTTAATGCGTCAGTTTTCATTATACAATGGGACAGTAAACGGTTGAATGTTTGCTAAATGCGTCAGTTTTCATTATACAATGGGACAGTAAACGGTTGACAATTTGCTAAATGCGTCAGTTTTCATAATACAATGGGACAGTAAGTGGTTGAAGTTTGCCAAATGCATCAGTTTTCATTACCGGTGGCATCCCGCCACAGCCTCACCTGGAACTCCGCATCTTTGTTCTGTTCTCGTCCATCACCTAGGAACACCATCCTGGGCGGAGTGAGATCCACTACAAACCCATCTGTTGTCTGTTCTACAGTCCCCAGGGCGTTGTTGATGGTTTTCAGCTTCGTCTTGACAACGTCCTGATGGTTCAGGTGAAAGTTGTGCCACTCGATCTGGCTGACGTCTTTGCCCAGAGTCTTCCAGTCCTTTACTACCTCAAAGTCAGGAGACAACCCTCTGGAAAACAGAACATGTGGTATGGCACCATGTTCATCCAGACAGTGTGTTATCATTCCCAGCTCAGGAATCTAAGTTCAGATATTTGCAGAATCACTGATACTGAGTGATATCCTCATCGTGACAATTATTGACTGAGACTTTTAATTGAATAAAGCCTCACCAGCTTTCTGTTAACATATTTCAAACACTCTGTATATCTATTCTTCAGTTTTTCATTACTGCCTCATGTATAAATACTGTTCGTCATTGCTAAAAACATACAAATCAATCCATGATCTTAAAATGTAGTCAGTGTAGGATAACATATCACGACTGTTTCCTCAGTGATTTCTCTCCCACTTACTTTGCTCTGAGTATCTGTACTGCATACTCTCTGATGTCTGACTCGGGTTCACCATAGTTCCTCAGTGATTCTCTCCCACTTACTTTGCTCCGAGTACCTGTACTGCATATTCGGGGCCAGTATAGTTCCTCGGTGTCCTCACCACCCCACCCGTAGACACAGTCACTTACTTTGCTCTGAGTACCAGTACTGCATACTCCCTGATGTCTGACTCGGACTCACTGTGGTTCCTCGGTGATTTCCCTCCCACTTACTTTGCTCTGAGTACCAGTACTGCATATTCCCTGATGTCTGACTCGGGGTCACTATAGTTCCTCAGTGGTTTACTTCCCACTTACTTTGCTCTGAGTACCTGTATCGCATATTCTCTGATGTCTGACTCGGACTCACTGTGGTTCCTCAGTGATTTCCCTCCCACTTACTTTGCTCTGAGTACCTGTACAGCATATTCTCTGATGTCTGACTCGGGGTCACTATAGTTCCTCAGTGATTTGCATTTCATAAGAACATGTTTGAGTCACTGTAGCATTATATATAGCAAATGTTTCCTCAGTGATTTACTTCCCTCTTACTTTGCTCTGAGTATCTGTACTGCATATTCTCTGATGTCAGACTCGGGGTCACTGTGGTTCCTCCACTGGGTTCCAACTGTGGCAACGTGGGTACTGAACTCAACGTCGTCAAAGCCGTCCTGTATACCGTCAACAACTTCACCCGGCACCGGCGGACTCAGATCCACGATAACTGAAAAGGGACGGAATGTAGACTTAAACATAACATTATATGAAACATTTGAGAATAGTGAGTGAGATTTGTGCCACTTCCATAAGTATTTCAGAATATCTTGTTGAGATGCTGGCGGAACCCCATGGTAACAGGACGTGAATGTTTAACTTTTTTTTGTAGTTTAACGCCGCAATATAGCAACTATGTGACGGCGGTCTGTAAATAATCGAATCTGGACCAGATTATCAAGTGACTGACATTGATCAACACAACTGGAATACGATCAACCATGTCAACGAGCTAGACCACCTGATGCCGTTCTGACCACAAGCATCGGTTGCTCAAAATAAATTTTAACCACGATATTCACGGAAATTAGCATTCATGCCATCATAAACAGTATTCAGTACTCAGGCGTGTAAGGTAAATGTTTGAGGAAAGTCTGATGCAGGTTGTAAAACCAATGATGACAAACCAAGGATCGTAATCGAGTCGAGTCGCCCTGCGGATCCTGGCCGTTGTGAGGCAACAACGGAAAGGTTTGAGGAACAAAGGAAATAGAAAAGAATTAGAAAAGAAGTGAATGAGTACTTGTGAATGTGAAAGTGAATGCCTGAACATTGCATTTGTCGAACAAATATTCCAGCTGCTCCAGTCTTTGGTGTTTACATTTTCGCAATTTTTGAGATACAATCGATCATGCTCTTCTACCAAGATTTCGAAGAGCGTCATACGACTCTTGCTCAGAAGTTGTTTGATCAAGGTTACAACATTCAAGACGTTTTATGGTTGAATGTTTTATGTTGTGGACATGTCGAAATTTTACGCATCAGTGACCAAAATTGCCCGATGCAATTCCCTATTTTGACTTGTACCATATGTTCCCGTGTTTTTAAGGTGAACAATTGACCTTCCTTTGCATGTGTGTGTCACAGGTGCCACCAGCAGGGCAGGATACGCTCCCTTTTCATAAACACCTGGTATCATTACTTTTTGATAGTGATTCATAAACACATGCTTATTAAAATGGTCGGAATTGTACATTCGACTGCTTTGTGCATATTAGATATGGAAAAGGTTGTGTAGCTTTAATTGCCTCCATCTGACATTGTATTACATCCATCTGACATTGCATTACCTCCATCTGACTGTATTACCTCCATCTGACATTGTATTACCTCCATCTGACATTGCATTACCTCCATCTGACACTGCCGATACGTTCAGCTGTTTGTGGCCAGCGTTGAATGCGGTGATGTAGAAGCTGTAGGCCTTGCCGTGTTCGAGCCTCTGGTCAAGCTGGACACAGGTCTCGTGTGTCTTGTGGTCAAGACTGACCGGTTCCGAGATCGTCGTGTTTGTGGCATCAAGAACCGATAACTCATAATGGGAAATACCAGACTCGGGATCATAAAACCCAAACCAGTTGCCACAAATCTGAAACAGATAGATATTCTTTATCTTTATTTCTTTGTTGAGTGAGTGAGTGAGTCGGTGAGTGAGTATGATTTTACGCCGCTTTTAGCAGTATTCCAGCAATATCACGGAAGGGTGACACCAGATATGGGCTTCACACATTGAAACCATGTCGGAAATCGAACCCTGGTCTTCGGCGTGACAAACTAACGCTTTAACCACTAGGCTACCAACCCTTCCCCGTTTCTTTGTTGCTGTGAGTTATTGACACTATGAGGATTACAAAAAGTAAATGAAAAAACATATCTTTGGGGTGCATGGGGATCCTATATCTTCCTACTAGATTAAAGGAAAGTATTCTATGAAGTAATGATCTACCTTGTCAGCATCCTTGGTAAAGTTGAGATCAAATCTGAAGACGGGCCCATCAAATACAATGCCTGGCTCAGGAGGAGATAAGTCGACTATGATCGGGTGGTCGGACACGTCCACATTCATCAAATCAACTGAAACAAAAAACAGATAATGGGTGTCTCAATGTTTCAGATAATCCATCTACATAGCACCTACAGTACTGCTGTTGATCAGCCCCTTTTTTGCTAAGGCCAGACTTGATTAGTTACAGACGGCCTTGATATAGATGGAATATTGCTGACTGCTGGCTTAAACAGCAAACAAAGAAACTGTTGTTGGAGCGAATGCATCGGACCGTTGACAGCTATGCAAAACAAACTCGTTCGTTCTTCACAGACTTCAACCAACCATCTAATGACATATTATCTGTGTGCAATCCGTGTGCATCTGATGAATTTCAAAATTTTATTGCACAGTTGAACCTTTTATCCAGACAGGAGTTCCACCTGGGAACTGGAACTGACTGACAATGTCGCATCACCAGGAAAAGACCTGTTACTGAAACTCACCATTGTTTATGACCCTGACTTTAATCCAGACAGGAGTTCCACCTGGGATCTGGAACTGACGGGTGATGTCGCCATCACTGTGCGAGGATCTCTGCCAGTCCATGTGATGACAGTCACGTGTGGTCTGTCCCAGACACAAGTCCACTTCTCTGATGTCTGAATCTGGGTCACTGTGAATGGATGTACCAAAGTATAATAATGATTACTAAATATGTAAAGGAAAGTAATGATCTTGTTCCAATATGAATGGGGATTAATTTAATACAGAAGTAATACTTTTAGAGAACTATCGCGTTATGATAGGGACGTATTCAAAGAAAGGGCTATTTCTGACATTCTTGATTAATGTAACGACAATATCAACTCTGAAGCATTGTGATCAGAAGTGAAATTTCACCTAAGAAGGCCAAGAGTAAAATTTCAAAGAACAGTTTTTTCGAATTATTTCAGTGCTGTGAGACAAGGCAGCATTTTAGGTTCTCGTTTGTTTTCATTTTTTATTATTCAGTTGGAGAATGATATCCAAAGGTTTGGAGGTAGTTGAGTCTTTGTTCCTCAGGATTTGATGGAACTTTTTTTTCGTTTGTATGCTGAGGTTTTGTACATTTACTTCAAATACTGTCCCCGAACTGTTGAGGACTATAGATGTCTCGACAAAACTGAAGTTTTAGTATTTAGAAATGGAGACAAGATAAGAAATTATGGGAGCTGGGGAACATGTCTGTTAGTTTCATATTACTAAAACTTACAACAACGAAAATGTCAGTTTCTTACATATTACAGATATTTAGGAAATATTTTTGTTAAAATAGATAATGTTGGTCGAAAGCTGTTTAGACATTTGTGTCCAAATCTAGTAAAGCCCTGGTTCCTATGAAACAGCTTATTTATAAACTGCGAAATATAGCTCCAAAGGTATCGTTCAAAATGTTTGACCTTTAGATTAAACTTATTATTTTATATGGTTCGGAGATTTGGGATATTGATAAATGGTTGTTTCTTGAACGCTTTCAAGCTAATCTTTGTAAATATGTTTTTAGAGTGGGTTCACAGGCTAAAAACGTTGAAGTGTTGGGGTAATATGGGCGTTTTGGTATGCATGTTGATATTTTCACTAGATTTAGGAAATACAGGTTTAAACTCTTAAATATGTCTCGAAACATATATCCCAGACAGTGTTACGATATGTTTGTTAAACTCTTTTAAAACATCTGGGTGAACTGGAAATATTGCACAATATAGGGAGGAGAGCGGGCATCGATCAGACACTTCTGTTTTCTCCATTATGTAAGTGAGTGAGAATGGTTTTACGCCGCTTTTAGCAATATTCCAGCAATATCACGGCGGGGGACACCAGAAATGGGCTTCACACATTGTACCCATGTCGGGAATCGAACCCGGGTCTTCGGCGTGTCGAGCGAACGCTTTAACCACTAGGATACCCGACCGCCCCTCTCCATTATGTAAGTTTCATGTGATTGCAAATGAAATTCATTTTGTATTGATATGCCCCTCATATGTGAATATACGTTAAAAAAGTTCCCATTTTTCAAATGTCCACACTTATGCTAATCCAAGGGATAGTTTCATAACATTTCTGCAGTCCTCGGATGGAAGCCTTCTAAAAAATTAAGAAAATTACATTAAAGATGCCTTCAATCTCTGTAAATATTTGCTGTTAATTTTGTTTGCATTTTGTACAAAAACTTTCATTGTACTCTTTGTACTTGGGCCTGAGTCTGTCATACTGAAATAAATGATTGATGGAAGTAGCAAAACAGCATTTCAAATATACACGTCAACAAAATATCACCTGGCATTATACTGGGCATTGATGAAGAAAGTCTCTTCGTCGTAGGAGATGTTGTAGATTTCATGTAGAAGTGGTGGCGAGTTGTCTACTACCATCGGCGTTGTGTGACAGATTGTTGTCACCAGCGGACCTCCATAGTCAACTTTATTCAAGGCACGGAGTGTGATGAAGTATTTCCCATCTGAAACAAAACCGAAATCACAAACGATTAGATAAATATCAATGTGAGAGAGTAAACACTCTATTCCTGTGTCTTCAATGTTGATTCATGTAATGATATTATTATTCGTATTCGTAATATGTAAATTACACTATAGAGACCCGTAAATATTCAGTGGTAGTAGGAACATTGATCCACTAACTATGACGACCACATAATTACATAAGTATATAGACATCGTAACCATGTCATTAAAGGCGGCCCTTACAATAGTTAGAGTATACCTACTTGGTAGTTATTAACTGACTAGATTTTCAATAAAATCTTACCACATAGATCGGTTTGTATCTTTGCTGTTGGATGAGCAAAACTAACACGACATTATCTGTTAATTTTATATTTGTAGATGTTGCAAGGGAATTACTTGTATATAAACCAGGCATTCAACATCGCAGAAGACCTTTTGAAAGAATTGAGCTTCAGTTTTACCTGGGAGGGGGTCGTGAGGAGCCGGTATGGGGGAGATGAGGCCAGTGTTGGTCCACTCTGATTCGTCAAACAGGTGTCTGTTAGGGTCATGATGAGGGTGGATCAGCTCCTCACAGATTTGTCTCCCCACGGTCCAGGAGTAGCCAAGGATGCCAGTCTCTTTGTCCATGATGCCGTCCCAGTTAGCTGAAACATCGAAATCGGTCCATAACACAGCAAGAAAATGTGTTTACATGTATTGGTATACACCAATACAACGCACAGGCAAGGTCGTAAAACAAACACTGTGCCAGCTAAAAAAGTGCATCAAAAACAATGAACGAATTATGCCCCTTCTTAAAATTAAAATACATACGGATACTTAACTAAGAACATAACCATACATGGAGATAAGTACAATGTTCCTCCATCTATTTTCACATAATTAAAATTCCCTTTAAATATTATTATATTTCACCGACCTGTTAAGTATCTGTTGGCTCTGGTGTACAGGAGATCGGTGAGGGGTGTGCCTCCATTGAAAAGGGTTTTTGACCCGTGGCCGTCATGAATTGTCCTGAAAACATAGGTAGAGGTAGAAGCTGCAAGCACCTTGCAATAAATACAAGAACAAAATAATTTTATTCTAGATAGATATCCCAGTGACCCAGTGGCTCAGTAACCTAAGCACGTTGTGGCCTTTCAGTTAGCTGTCAGGAAGCTATGAATTATAACTGAAATAATGTTAAAAACAATCTTAAACCAGACATCTCCCTTTTGAAACGTTGTTAAGCCTGTGCATTTGGCTATATGCCTTCTACTAGGTGTTATTATATCAGTGCTTAGCAAGTTAGTTACCATGAAGACATATTCATGCAGATAACTACATTTTAAGTTATCACAAGAACAGATGATTAAGTTCATATTTGACTTTTTAAAGGTTTAATAAAATAATCTGATAAACAAGTATCTTCGCAGTGTAATATCACCTTCTTAATGTCTATCAAACACCTGTTTCTCACCTGTGGTTATTAATTTGACTGTTAACACCTCGACACCTGACTTTCCAGTCTGGTCTGTCTTCTGGAACCACACTCTCACACGAGGTCACCTCCAGGACATCCAGACTCACATTAGCCAGTGGACCTGAATCATTAGTAGTAGAGATTAACACAGATATATGTGAAAACGTATCACAAAATCCTATGCCCATGTTTTCTTTGACGTCAACGTTCATCACACAACATCGCTGAAAGTAGAATAAGCGCATCTTTGAATCCAATGACCAACGTATTATGTCAAGCTGCATATTCATGAGGTGAGCATGAAACATTCTTGATAGGACTCTCATATTATAGACAGACACACAACTAGAACTATTCCTGTAAAGTTGATTAACAACTATCAATGTTTATGAGGGTTTGGTTAAAAAAGGTGACATAACACTTTCCATAATCAAAAGAAATCGCGACTAAAAGGAGAATTCATTGTACGTTTCCGACTATTTCATGAGCATGTGTTTATGAATCACAAAGGTGTTCGCGAAAAGGTGAGCGTATCCTGTACCACAGATTGCATCCTTCCCAAACATAAGCAAACGCAAGTAATTTTTTCACCTGAAAACCATGTGGTCAATTCTGACAATTCAAGGACTACTTTACAACAGCTTAAGGTGAAGGTAACATCCTACCTGGTTGGGGAGGTGTGACATCCACCACAACACCCGTAAAAACCGTAAGGAAAACATGATTCATTCAACAATTCTTCGCTCATATCAATCACATGTTCAAACTTGTTTGATTTTAAGATGTTTGACATTTATCACATATTTGATAGTTTGGTAACCCCGTGGCCTATTCTGACAGGCCAGAGACACAAGAACATAAACATGTTTTAATGAATCATTATTAAATAGTGATTATACCAGGTGTTCGCTAAAATGATACGTATACTGCCCACTGATAGCACTCGTCCCAAACACAAGTATTTTCTTCACCTGAAAACAACAGAATACAACAGATCAAGGTCAAGGTAACATCCTACCTGGTTCGGGAGGTGTAACATCCACCACAACACCCTTGCTATGGAGGATGGACTCGAACTGAAGGTCGTTGATAAGGTGGATGTTGAAGAAGTACATGGCGCCGTGACGTAGAGACAGATCCTTGTGGATGAATTCGTGGGCAAGACCAACTCCAAGCCTCTCAAAGTGAGCATACTGATCAGACTACAAGGATCAAAAACATATATGCATAGAAAATATACATCCTAGAGATTGCAAGAAAAGTACATGTCAGGATACAGAACTTACCCGTTTGTAAAATGACCTACCCCGAATGTGTTTAAAAAAGTACATTTGACTTGTAAAATATTTGTCATAATTTAATATCAAATCAATACAACAATAATGACTTTTTCGGGTAAAAATGTCATTTATACTTCGCCTGACTCACACTAATTGCTTTTTGCACCTCATTCCCAAAAGGTAGTGCTTAAAACATCTCACTCAAACGCACCCTACCCATGCGCAGGCGCACCGGAACCACATGAAAAAACCGTGTGACTCTCCACTCTCTCTATTTTCTAATCTTTATGACTGAAACACATCAGGGAAAGAGGGAAAGGCTGGATGGGTGCTTCAGGGTATGAGTCAGTATAAGTATAAATGATAGTATTACCCTTACAAATATTATTTTACCTTATCCAGACTCATACTAATTGTTTGCATCTCACAGTAAGTCATGGGTCTCCCCTCGATGTGTGATTCTGCCATGATCTGTTCTGATTCAAAAATAAACATAGGAACGTGGTCACACATTCTTGTAGGCTCTTCTTATGTCGGTAGCGGGGTACAACCTACTTTTTGAAGTAAAAGGAGAAGAATCGTAAAAATTGAAAAAGTGAGCATAGAATGTCATTCCCACTTGTTTTCTAATGATTATAGTGTAAGGAGAAGTACACAATCGTCATCAGTCATGCTCTGAATTGCATAGTAATACAGGGGAACATGGACTCTCGGTCGGTGGTTAAGGGACAGCAACCTGATGTCGACGAGTCACATGATTGTGAGTGATATAGTCTATCCTGGTTAGTTGCTTGCTACTCCCAGTAGCCCAAATTGGTGGATGCCAGCAACAACTTTTTTGGCGATATATCTGAGGTAATGGTTCGCAAAGATGAAATCAGATTTCCACAAACAACCCTCCATAATGGTCAGGATGGAGCAGTTATCCTGTAAAGCTAGAGTCTTCGTGTGGCTTGAACGGTGGCGGTTGATCCAAATCCGCTGCCCTGCGGGCTCTGAGTATAACTGCTCTCATCCAGAAGGATATAGTTGTTCTTCGCAATCTCCGTCTTCTAGAACTCGTCTTTTGCAGGTAGATGCGTAAAGCCATGACTGGACAAAGGGACACGTCTTCGATATAGAATGGACGAGAGCGCTGGCACATAAAATTGTCCATCAAGTTGTATCGCCGAGATACAATGTATGTTCACCACTGTCAAATCTGGTATGACTGAAGTCGATCGCATGTATTTCTGACGTAGCTGGGGCGGTCGGGTAGCCTAGTGGTTAAAGCGTTCGCTCATCACGCCGAAGACCCGGGTTCGATTCCCGACATGGGTACAATGTGTGAAGCCCATTTCTGGTGTCCCCCGCCGTGATATTGCTGGAATATTGCTAAAAGCGGCGTAAAACCAAACTCACTCACTCACTCACTCTGACGTAGCTAGTGCCAGGAGATTTAATGTCTTTTGTGTCAAATGTTCAAAGTCCGCTTGTTCTCGTGTTTCATAAACATTGCTGGTAAGATACACCTGGTGTCATTACTATTTGTAACACATGCTCATGATACAATCGGAATCAGAGATTTTATATGAATATGGAAAGGCCTTTGTTGCTTTAATTAATCAACACTACGTAAAGATACCTAGATGGTGCTTTCGATTTCTTCTTTTGGTCCTCCAGTTTGTAGGATCTCAGCAAAGCTATCAGTTTGGGAACTTTCTCCTGTTTTCGTCCATAGCCATGGTTAAGATTATGCTGATAGCTGCCAAATAGGTTCTTGAGTTTTGCAAATGACACAAGAAATCTGCAACTTGTGGTGAAGTAGCTTTAACTGCTGCGATTCCTTTTGATCTCCTGAATTGGTAAAATCTCTTCCACTTGTTATCATACTAATTCCTTAGCTGCCCTGCGGCCCTGGTGGAGGATCCTCGTCTTGAGTTGGAGTTGTTTTCCTGCCATTGCGATAACGTCCTGGACTCACGGTGCAACAAAAAGGAGTTTTAGGTTCTTTGTATGCATGATCTTCTGTAAAACCAGAGGTACCAGTGCTGGTTGTGCGACCAAAAGGCACAAAGTCCCTCCCACGATATTGCCAGTGCGTCGTTTGCACACGCCAGGGGGTCGGGTACTGGGAGACTAAGGTTACTATCTGTCTGTTGACTCTGGCGGCAAATAGGTCCATTTAGGGGCAACTTTCGCCCTTGTCTCGACAGTGCGTCTGCTAACACATTGGACGTTCCTGGGATGTCTTACTTTGATCCTTAAATTCAGACTCAGTCTGTTAGTTGATACAACTACAAGGTTAACCCAATAAGGGGGTCGTGCCTTAGAGGTTTATGTAGAAGACCACAGTTGCGTTGTCTGTTCTTATCATTAGATACTTGTCTCCCAAGTGTTGCGCCCAATGAGATATTGCCTGGTTTACTGCCTCAAACTCTCGGTGGTTGATATTGAAGAGCTTTTCTTCTAAGGACCATAGCCTTGATATTACTTCTGAGTCGAGATTGGCGCCCCATCCTTGTAGCGAGGCGTCTACAAATAGGTGTTGATTGCATTCTGGCTCATTGAAAAGACGAAAACTGTGTTCTTGATGGTCTAAGAACGGCTTAAGGAACCTTTGTATGGCAGCATCTCAAGGAGCTGAAGTCTGCCCCGTTCTGTGAAAGTTTGGGCAGAAGTGAGCAATCCTAAGGTACTTGTTATTGATTGACTGAAATATTTTTGGGAATAGCTACTGAAAGATCGCTTTGGATATATACTGGAAGAAAGCTTTGGATATTTAACCACCGATCATCTGGCATTTAAATATGATTTTGTCATTGGGAATCTGAATAGGATTTTGAGATCTTGGAATCTGATAGTTGATTAACCAATCTAGCTGGGTTAACACAATTTCAAAGTAAAATACAGTTGGCTTTAGAGATGATCTGTCTGTTGATGAGCTTGAATTCAATCATCCAGGTAAAAGGCGGAATGGATCCCCTTGTTATGTCAAAGTCAAAGATATTTTTTGCAAGTAAGGCCTCCGGCCCATATACAAAAACGTGACAAATAAGTAGTTTCACTTATTTGGATATAACAATTTGTTTCTGAGGCCTTCGGCGTGTCGAGCGGACGCTTTAACCAGTAGGCTACCCGACCGTCCCCTTTGGAAAGAAGTAAATTGATGGATTTTGAAAGTTTGTGTTTCTTTGTCACCAGATATTGAACAATCGGTAGATTGAGAGGTTCCTGTGGTACATCTGGACTGTAACCCACCCTGGGAATGTTGGAAACGAATGGGTCGTCCAGGGTGTCTCAAATATACTGTTGACTGCTGTTTATGAGTGGATGGTGGTGGAAGGTCCAAGTCGTTCAACAGCTCCCAATCAGCAATAGACGCAGGTTCCTTGGGATCCTCAGCCTTGACCGTGCTGATCATGTTGGCTGTCCTGGGGACTACAAAAGGCTGTCTTGCCTACTTGGTTTCTTTATCTTTCTGTTTGCCAGAGAAGCGATTTTTAATTTGTATCTTCTGCACAGAGTTGACACTAGAGTTGCAAGTTCATTGTTTGAACAGACGTGAGGAACATCTGGTCCTTTGAATCTTGTACCGCTTCTTTGTTAATCCTGCTAATACAGTCATCAAAGATGGACTAAAAGTCCCATGACCCTGGTGGCGAAGTAGTGTCCGGCTGAGATAGAACAAACTCTTGATTCTTCTTTTGTGCATTCATTGCTGAAAGAAACAAGTTTTTCCGGGGGTTCTGGGGATTCTTTAGGGCTGTTAACACTGCTTCAGTAATGGATCTTGATATGTATAGGCCAAAGAAAGAATGTCTAGCAGCAGTATCTAGCTGAGCTTGCTCTTTGTCATCGACATGGTAAATCTTACTCTTAGAGTCAGACACGAGAGTGTAGTCTTCGTCTATCTCTGGAGACCGGAGAAAGGCTGACATGCTGTGTACAGGAAACATCTTGACGTTGAAGTTAGGAGTAAAACTTGGCCACAATGATTTTGACAAAGGACGCATTTAAAATCTTATTTATCTGTTATATCAGCTAAATTTGAGGGAAGGTCAAGATATCAATGTCGTATGCTTTGATACAATACAGTAGTAGGACTATCCCTGGAATGTGATTTAATGGGAAGTCCTCCGGCTACCCATGCCAACATATCATGATCTCATAAAAGGAAGGGGAATTCTTTCGCTTGTGGTGACTGGTTCAAAAGGTCTTCCCCTTGTAGGAGGTGAGGGGCATTAAGGTTAGGTGCCGAAGAAGATCTGTGAAATCAGAGATTGATCTGGAAGCAATAGGCTTTCTGCGTAATGCTAGCTACTAAGTCAAATCCCATTCCTTCATCTGAAAGGAGGGATGGTGTTTACTGACGCTGCTTAGATTTCCTAATCTTTTCCAAAGTCGTTTCTGTTGATGAAGTTGATCATGATAAATATCTCCTCTTTCTGTCGTTCTTCCTCCAGTGTACAGTGTAGAGAAAATGTGTTAATCCCTCATCTTGAAAAGATGAGCAGAAAGTTCATTTACCAGTTGTAGTACAATTATGAGATGATCACGTGGAACAGAGAGAATGAGGATCTCTATCTGATATACATGATAGCATGACACAATATTGAAATATTACAGCCAAATCTAATAATCGATGAATATGATGAATAGATGATAGAAGAATGTAATAAAAAAAAAAATATTGAAAAAAAAGACATTTTGATTGGATGATTCGGATTATGAGCAAAGAAAACTCATTCCCAATTGGCTGGTTGCCGCGAAAATTAGAGAGTGATAGGAACACGGCCCGGTCACGTGGTTCCGGTGTGCCTGCGCGTCGATTTGGTGCGTTTGCCTGAGATGTGTTTCTGTTTCCACAACCTTTCGAGAATGAGAAGAGATAAGCAATCAGTATGAGCCAGGATAAGGTAAACCTGATATATTACACGTCAAAGCTCCGCATTTGCGGGGAATGCGAGGGAGAATAGGGCACCCTTTTCGCAAGCACAAACAAAATTGAATATCGTGTGTTCACAATGTGTGACTTGGGACTGTGACTGTGGCGTATACGTGTCCTCTGCTTTGAAACCTCGGTGTCAAGTGTATATGAGTTAGTGACTGTCTGTATACACTAAATTAACCATTTAGTTATCACAAGCCTCAGTTGTGTATTCTATAAAAATGCCTCATTTAAACTTACGATGAACATTTTATGGTCGTGTCCTTCAATGCCTTCTAATAGTTCGCAATGTCCGTTAGGTCCGTAGTCGTAGTTGACGCTCATACACTTGGTCTCCGGGAACTTCATACACTCCTTCACACAGGACCCGGCATGATTCATACTGAAGAACTCGGCAAACACCGGACCAATCAGTCGGCCGTCCTTCAGACCCGTGAAATGTTTCAGTGCTTCGTGGCCATAATTATCAGATGAAGCTGAGAAGAGGAAGCACATTTTACATTTTAACCTGGGAAATGCCATTTCAGTGTAATATTTTCTGCCACAATAAAGACGGTATCCTCAACCATTTCTCCTATTGAATGCATATGAATTGTATACAATGGCCTGGGTGTCTTTATAATGAACATGAAATGATTGAGATTTTCTTTGATTGGCAGCGATATAAGGTCAATTTTGATCACTTATGCCACAGCTACAGTCACACATCCTACTCAAAAGAAATATAAAACACCCTCTAGTGAATCTGTCATGGTCAGCTGAACGAATGAAATCTTTTGAGTAACATATATGGTGTATATGGCATCATTTAGAAATATATTGCAAAATTATGTATTTTTCCCAAATGGTTTATTTTCTTATTAGAATTACAATCTGAACAGCAGTCTTAATTACACCGATTTCTAATTACTTACACCTTTTTTGGATTTGTTTCAAATAATGTTTTCCAATTGCTTTCATGATAGTAATTCACATTATAGTTTGTGATAATAATTCACGCCCTTACATCTTTCACTTCAGATGATTATTCATTAGGCACCCACATATACATTTCATGACCTTTGCTTTTGTTATTGTTTAGGGGGGCACGTGTGGCCCAGTCGTCTAAGGCGCCGCGATTCGTTGTGCAGAGTTGCGTCCCTTAGGGACGCCAGAAACCTATGATTGTAGGTTCGAATCCAGGTTCGCCCCGATTATGTATCTAGGTTTGTCAGCACCATACCCGTGCTCGTGGGTTTCACCGAAGTGGTAAACGTCAATCACTTCGGGCTTTCCTTCCTCATTAAGCTGACACGCCGTGATATGACTGGAATACTGTTAAAAGCAATGTTAAACGCAACTCACTCACTCACTCAATTGTTATTATTTAGAATATACACGGCTAATCTAAAGATGAGATGTTCAACGCGGCTTTAATCGAGAATGCTTTATATAATTTTCCTTACGGTCATAGTGTGCATTGGTCCTGTCCTTGAGATTGACAGAGTTGTAGGCTATTGTTTCATCTCCGAAAATTCCCCTTCCCAGTCCAACACCCACGGAAGATTTAACCAGATCTGAATCTTCATACACCACCACATTCCCTCTCAGTTCAGCTGGGTTACTGGTTGAACTGAAGTCTGATGTCAGTCTGCCACCAGGAGGCGTGACGTCATAGGTTGAGATGCTGCATGTCACGGCGGTTCTCGCACCTGCGCTGTTCTCACCATACACCGTGAAAAAGACGGGGACGCCATGGACATTCTTGGAAAATCGCTGAAACATGGATATCTATATGTACTGAGCGGAGTCCTTGAAAATGAATTCTCACCCGAAATACTCCTATGCCAGGTTTAATTACAGATCTAACTGTCTTTATTATTAATATATGTACAGATATTTGATTTGATATTGTCTGACACATAATGTAATCATTTGATTTTGCAGCTATTACAATTACCAAAGAAAAATGATTTCCACTTCATTCTCCAAGACACACAGAAATGCTCAAAATGAATAGTTAATGGTAGAGGAAAGTCATCAATATGAAATAAAGACATATAATGTCAACATAATACAGCTCATTGGCATGCTAACACATTAGGATCATATCTATAAATTGCAGCTTTATCCATGTAATGGCAGTGAAGCAACAAACTCGACTGTCCCTCGAGGTTGAAGCGTAGTGGTGTTTCAAAGAGATTCACTTTACACCAAGACGAAAGACAAGTGTAGTGTTGTGTCCAAGACTGAGTCTCTTTTGGCCAAAACGGAAGACAAGGGCAGTGTTGTGTCAGAGATCGAGTCACATTAGATCAACACGAAGGGCAAGGGCAGTGTTGTGTCCGAGATCGAGTCACATTAGATCAACACAAAGGACAAGGGTAGTGTTGTGTCCGATATCGAGTCACATTAGATCAACACGAAGGACAAGGGCAGTGTTGTGTCCGAGATCGAGTCACACTAGATCAACACGAAGGGCAAGGGCAGTGTTGTGTCCGAGATCGAGTAACATTAGATCAACACGAAGGGCAAGGGCAGTGTTGTGTCCGAGATCGAGTCACATTAGATCAACACGAAGGGCAAGGGCCGTGTTGTGTCCGAGATCGAGTCACATTAGATCAACACGAAAGACAAGGGCAGTGTTGTGTCCGAGATCGAGTCACATCAGATCAACACGAAGGGCAAGAGCAGTGTTAAGCCTGAGCTGGTACCCATCAGACAAATACTGAGTAGGGAAATAAGATCTTAATAGGATCAGCTGATGTATGCAAAGATTCGGGTATTGGCAACAACAGGAAAACGTGTTGTTTGGTCCATGGTTCCTTTTCATCCTACAGTACTTATCAAGCTAAAGGGTGAGTAACCTTAACATCGCAACTTTGCAGATTGTAATAGTTTAGGGTAAACTAAATCACAAATGCTTAACCAAAATTAAATTTTGAAAACGTAAAACAAACAGAAAATGATAGGCGAAATCGTCCACAAGACCAAAGAATCCACCACTTCAGTTGTCTACTAAGGACATTAATCCCTGACAGGCATTCAATGTGTGGAATAGGTCCGAGGGCAGCAGTTGGGTTTTATGGTATTCGTTCTACAGGATGTTTGTCATAAAAAGCTAGTTCCACGTCACAATAGTCATGCAATATTGCAAAAAATAATTGTTAATCTAATTTTTCACAATGTTAATGTCGCTTCTTTGTCGGTAATGATGCATTTGATTCATGATTTTCACTCAGGAACTGACTTAAAACTGATATTCGCGAAAAAAAATCAATACATATTTTCACTCAATTTGTCTTTAAATATCCTTTCAAGTAGTTAAGATGAGAGTGGCCAAAGCCGTTCCCTGCATACCTGAGTGATAATTGAAGATGGTCCACCAAGGCTGAGACTTCTGAGCACATCACTGAGTCCAGGTTTGGTCCCGGCATCCACAAAGATCTGGACCTGACTCCGGTCATCCTCGGCAGCTATGGCTATCTCTACCGCCGGCTCTGTGTGGTCTCTATCGGGGAGTTGTCTCACTAAGCAGCTCCGTGATGTGGACACTGCCCTCTTCTTTCGACCAGAACCTTCCTGATGGACACAGATCATAAATGCATTGACTTGTCCCTTTGACTTCTTGTTGCATTACACTACATTATACTACAACAAGCACTTCAGCTTACAAATATGTATAATTCGTTATTCTCAAAACACCAGAAATATCAGAAAAAATATTAACTGTTGAAAATTTACTTTCCTTCCATTTTATCTGTTTTTCCTAAATACATTCTGGAATATATAACATATCATCTTTGCCCTTGTAAATTCTAGACTTTAATATTATTGTAAAACGTACAGTATTGTCCACATAGTTGAGAAACTGTGGTGGAGATTTGTCCTCCTCCTTCTTGCCTGTATCTATCAGTCTCTTTCTTGTCGTTGAGGTGGAATATTGCCAGATGACAGCGCTGTACAATGTCTTCCTGATCTTGCCTATCCACTTGCCAAGATTGATCTCCAGTGTAACTTTTCCACGCAGGGTCAGTTGCAAGGGGGTCAGGTCCATGTCCATGATCAGTCTGGTTACACATAATACACAGCTTCTTTGAGTAAAGTAATATTCTAACTTCAGTTTGCTTGTTGCGACACCATTGCGGTAGTGGAGATAAGGTGAAGGAGGTTAAATACTATCGTACTTCTGTAGCGACGGACATGCTGTTTGTGTGAGTGTGAGTGTGAGTGTGCGTGTGTATGCGTGTGTGTGTGCGTGTGTGTGTAGTTTTTCCCAAGTGCTGAGATACCATACCGCGGTTTGACGTAGATACCCCATTTAAGACACAGTATACGACCAACGAGTCACATTACCTGGCGGCCTTATTTGATGACAAAGGCTAACAGTACATCAATTCCTTGATTCTGTGTATTGTTGGAAGATTCGGTGAAATAATTCGAAGTAATTTGTCCACAGAATCCCCTTACTTATCATGAATGGTCTACAAGAGATCGGGTGGTAAGGACAGGTGACTTGCCGGAAGGCATGCCATCCTGCCCCAGAGGCGCAGATCGTTTCTCATGCTTTCAGTCACTGATTTGTATACCACAGGTCGAAGTGACATAGCTCAAATATAGCTCCCACCCACTTACTCACTGCTTACTCACAGCTAGAAAAGATTATTACGGGCTTAAGAGCGGTCACTTTACACTGATAATATGACATGTATTTATGGAGGTGTACCTACATGCAAGGCATATTTTGAATAAAAACGAAAGGTAACATACCTACGTTAGATATTATAATTATCAGACTGGGTATTCATAACATCTACTAAAACTGTCAATAGGTATTGAGCGAGTTTCGGTTTCGGCCACATTTCAGAAATATCATGACACTTAAGATAATCTAGACACGTTGGTAAGTCGAATATGCGTCTGGCATATATAAAGGAACGCGTATTTCCGTGTGGGAGCCGGCAAACATTTACTGGAGACCTTTTGGAGAAAAATATAGTATCTGTAGTGGATCGTCGCGCATATATAATGGATTGAGTAAATACTGACCTTAAGTCGAGTGGAAACTTGTAGAATCCAATCTCAGCCCTTGATGGGAACGCAAGGTTCATCAGGTAGCCATCAAATCTCAGTTTGGCATACAGTACAGCTCCAATGCCCATTTCTCCGTAGACAAGAGCACTTCCAAAGGGCGTCACTTGACCAAACACAGTCATACCAAGGATCTTTGCTCCTACACCTATTTTTATTCCAAACGTTGCTCCTGCTCCATATTCTGAAATTCCAGTGTTTAAAGTGGTTAGAAACAGTGACTGAGTGGTAAAATACAGTGTTTGAAGTGGTTAAATATGGTGGTTGAAGTGGTTCAGTATAGTGCTTGAAGTGGTTGAATTTAGTGCTTGAAGTGGTGCAATATAGTGCTTGAAGTGGTTCAGTATAGTGCTTGAAGTGGTTAAATATAGTGCTTGAAGTGGTGCAATATAGTGCTTGAAGTGGTTCAGTATAGTGCTTGAAGTGGTTAAATATAGTGCTTGAAGTGGTTAAATACAGTGCTTGATGTGTTTCAGTATAGTGCTTAAAGTGGTTAAATATAGTGCTTGAAGTGGTTAAATATAGTGCTTGAAGTGGTTCAGTATAGTGGATGAAGTGGTTAAATATAGTGCTTGAAGTGGTTCAGTATAGTGGATGAAGTGGTTGTGTGTATTAATCGTGGTTACAGAGACAAATGAAAGAAATATGTTGAAGCGGTTTAATACATGTGTAATATCAAAAGAGGAGTGCCATTTTCAGTTGTGGGTAATAAATGTGGTTACACAGTAAACAGAGAAAGCAGACTCTAAACAAACAGGACGTCTCATAGACTAGATTAGCTTCCCTTCGATAGTAGAAGTAGAAACAATATGTGTAGGCAATTGTTATTTTTGTCTGATGTAGCTACGCAGCTGCCTGAAAACAGGTTTCAGTTTAAACTATATTGAATGTTGTCAATGTGCGCTTGACAAATCACTGACCATCTGACGAAAAAATATATTAATGCGCACATTCCAGATTTTTGTGTGTGTTTTGGAAGCAAAATATCCTGTATAAGGCATAAACACTAGAACGTGATATTTACCATCCCCAAATACACTTGCGTGATAAACTTGCGTGATATATATATATATATATATATATATGTGTGTGTGTGTGTGTATTTGTGTGTGTGTGTATGTGTATTTGTGTGTGTGTGTGTGTGTGTGTGTGTGTGTGTGTGTGTGTGTGTGTGTGTGTGTGTGTGTGTGTGTGTGTGTGTGTGTGTGTGTGTATTTGTGTGTGTGTTTGTGTGTGTTTGTGTTTGTGTGTTTGTGTTTGTGTGTCCTAGATGTTGGCCCTGTTCTGTTTGTAGGAACAAACATTGTTGGTTGCTAACGTTTCTTTTGCTCATCGGTTTAGTAGGAATCGTCCAATGGTGTGTTCTTATTAGTTAAAGGTTTTTGTCACTTTTTGTACCATCACTAAATGATGCAGAAGAAACTCTGAATAGTTGTCAAACAATACATGGATCTCTTGCGAGCGTATCATGGGGCATTTCAGTAACATCATGCAGTGTCTGCTAATAATAGTGTGGGAGGAAAGGACAGTGAGTGTGTGAATAAGTGAGCGAGTGAATGAGTTGGTTTGATGTCTCTTTCAGAAACATTCCAGCCATATCACGGTTTGGGATACCAGCAATGGGTTTCATTGTACCGATATGGGGAGTAGAACCGTCTTCCAGACGAAAAACATCTTTCACCACTGAACTTCTTTGTCATCCATATAACAATAAAATCAATTAGTCTGGATGTACATGTACAAATATATTGCAGAATCGATACATACACTTGTTTCTTGTAACACAATTGAAGTACATGAAAGTCCATACTCACCAAAGTACATGGGTACAATTCCTCCAATCAGGAAGTAATTCCTGTATCTGAAGAAGACGACGTTTTTTCTAGGTAGGGAGAAGCTTCCTTGAAGAGTCAGGTCAAATGAGCTGAATGTGTTGGTTCCATCACCATTGACGATAACATTGATGATATCTGAATACTGATATGATATTTTTGTGATTGAAAAAACGTATGGAGAGAGATGACACCATTGGCATAGGGGGATAGATAACAATTACTGTACAACCGATACTATATTTTAATACGATGAGAAATGTTTTTTTCCTCAGCAGTGAATGGGTACCCGGTTGGATGCGATGACAATGTCGCTGTTATGAATAATGTTGCATTTACATCTTACATTGTGTATGAAGTTATGCGCTCGACACGTGGACTATAAGTATTAGTACATCTGTATTTTTTAAAAGACATGTAACCGTCATTGCTTGTATAATAATACAATAGTTATGTTTTGAGTATTACTTTATTTTCAGGTTTCAAAATTCCCTGTCGAGGATTAACCACTCCGCTCCGGAACAATTAATACAATCAAACTAACCTACATTTTGCGATTATAATGCCAATATATCGTACCAGGGCGAGACACAAATCTCGTAGTTGTCTCGTCAGACGAAGAGTAAGTTCAGGGTCGATGTTCTTGGCATCAAACATGGCGATCATCTCCCCGATGCTCATGTTGGCCAGTTTAGCACCAAGCAGCTGCAGTCCTTTCCCAGTCAGACCTTTCCCCACAGTGTACGCCTGATCCCCGCGACCCAGGATGTCGGTGACCTGACCCAGGACCTTCATGATCTTCTCGCCTGGGAACACCAGTTACAGTACTTAAGCCTGATTCCAATACGAGGATCTTAACATCTTTGGGTAAGCAAATTCTTACTTTTCCAAATTGTAGCAACGTAGCGACTGGATCCGGATACACTGCAAGTGAATCAGTTTGTATAGTTAAATGACGATATTAGCCCAAACTACCCACCACCTTCCATGCCCAGCACGACGTTTCCACTGCCGACTTCCCCTGAATACAGAATGGTTCCTGGGTTGGCTATACCCATCTTCTTGATGGCACTCTTAGTGTTGGTCGCTGTGCCATCTTCATCCGTGCGTGATATTATGAGTGAGCTGTCTCGTTTCTGGAAGATAAAGACATGTGTATGTGATATCGAAAAGGTTCGAGGCCCATATCAGTAGTTCATACCCCTATTCTAGATGTATCTGACTTCAAACTATTGAAAAATGTAAAAGCTAAAAAACACACCTCTTTTCGTTCACTTTCCCTGAACGATGTTTATGAAAGAACGTTTCAACTGGTGGTAAGACCTGTATATAAATACTGAAGCTTACAACCAGCAGCTGGTACTCTTGGTACAGCATAACATACGTGATGAACACACAGTCATGGCAATGATAAGTGTACAGTGTGAAGTAAATATTTCCTAGGCCGCTATTAGAGAATTTGCAGTCTCTTCTTGTGATTAAATTTGTAAATAGAAATGGATTTGATGAAGATTACATATTTGATCATTAAAGTCTTTGAAAGACATTAAGAAGTGATACACCCAAGGCAGAGAATTTATGGGTGTTAACTTCTTTATTATGAGGAACACAATGTTTCGGGGTATATCAGACCTGTGTTCCTCAAAATAAAGACGTTGACATTCATAAATGCTCTTCCTTTTGATAATTTAGTTGAGAGATCTTTTGATTCCACACATTAATTTAAAAAGATAATCTCCAAATCTCAACCACGGTGACTTACCTACATTCCACTCGCAGGTGTGTGTCCTTTACCTGTCTAGCTTGGGTGACCAATGATTTAGTTATTCACAAATGTACTGTAACACATACAATCTCCTGCCATAATAATCTAATTAGGGTACTGATGACTTGATCCCAAATGAAAAGAAATTAATATCATACTGCTTCAGCCTTGAGTCTTTCAAACAGATCCTTGATTTCTTCATTCGTGAAGTTCTGGTTCAAAGCTTCATTGAGGATCCGCTTGGCATCGCCTGTGTGTATTCTGAATAAAACACAGGCCACCATGAGATCAGGTTCCACTAGTGTCGCCAGTTAAATGACTAACAACCATTAGACAATGTTCTGTCTATATAATAGTGTGATATCTAATCAGGATGAAGATGGTCGTTAATGAACCAGTAGTTAATTGGTCAGTAGACTTTTTAATAGCTTTCCATCTGAATATTTTCATATTATATGCTGATGCTGTGCGATCGTGCGTATGTATGTATGTATGTAAATTAAAAGGGATAAACACAGGAAAGAAGTAAAAAGACAGGGTTATTTATTTCTATTCTTTGCAATTCGAAGTAACTGAGGCAAAAAGAATTCGAAAAAGTCCTATGTAAAATAATTATGCAACACTCACAAATCTAAAGGACTTCGTCTTTTCCTTCTTCTTCCAACAGGTGAACATGAAGATGGCATCTGGAACGTCTTTTCATCCAGGAGTTTGTAGTAGTAGCAGTTGTTGATGAGGTCGTGTCCGTTCATGGCACAGACCTTCACGTGGAAGGACACCTCATATAAGGATGGCGTTTTGCTGATCACGTAGCTCAGAGTGATGGCGTTGCCAACTGGCTCAGTGTGGTTTTTGTCTACCAGAACCGCAACATTCATGATGATTTCACGAGTGTAAGTCTATATTGTACTTATTAACAACAATACATTCATTTACTCATATTCTGGTCCTCACACAAGTTTCATACGTCTCTTCAGTGCTGTGCATGAAGACATTAGAAGAACAAATCTTTGTAGCTTTAGTAGTATTTACTTGGGACGGCTTTTTTATGCTTGTTTCATACTTTCTTCTACATACTTGGTAAATGTCAACTATATAATTCCATTACATATAATATTGGTGTTTTATATAGCTTTTAAATATGGCTGACATGACAATCAGTCTAATGTTTGTAGTAATATTTTTTATAATTAATAACTGCGAGAAAGACATTTGATGTCAATGTGAGCTTAACGACTCGTTTGGTTACAGGGAAGGTATTGAAAATGCGAAAGTTTATGGTCGAAAGTATAATGTATGTTTTTAAGTATTGTACCTTTTCAAAACTCATGAATGTTTTTTCCCAGGGAATCGCTATCCTCATTACCGTCTCCACTCACCATAAGCCACAACCGAAAGCTTCTTTGTCCACTCTTTGTTCTCTATATGGTACACAAGTTGGTCATTACAGTGGTCAACCTCGATGCCGGCAGTGATGGAGTAGATGCCGAGGTACTTGAGGTCGACGTCCACACAACACGTGATGCCAATGCAGTTGTCAGTCAGTCGGCAGGTGCTCGAGATGGCAGCAGGGAGGGATGCTGGACAAGCTTGGATCATAAAAAGAAACAATGACTCATGTAAACTCCATTGTACAATTCCGGCTATATCCGTTCAGGCAGGACTATAAAATAATATAACCGTTGTTTACAGAAACTATGAATCTATTACGAACAGACAAATGTTTGTTCATTTCATATTCTGCATTGTGTGATCATGTATTTGAAACATAAAAGATTGAAATAATAAACACTTGGTAAGAAGTATTAAGGCCTACCGGAAGTTTGCAGTGCACAAATTCTAGACTTCCAGAAATCGAAGGAGACGCCTGCAATGCAATGGACAAAACATGTTCGATTTGAGTATACATTATTTATTTTTCTTAAATTATGCAAAAAACACACTCGTTCTAGAGCACATGTAAAACCCCGCTGCGAAAGAAGTTGATAGAAAGACATAAACTGTCGTTATAGATACAAAGATATATAGAAAGATACATCGACACATCGATGAATTTGGACCGAAAACTCATACGATCAATGAATCCGTCAATATAATTCAATTTAAACTTTACTGAATACTTTCTTATGACAACCTATTGATAGAACATCATGATGAGTTCATTGTCTGTTCAACTATGTAGTCTTAATTTCTGCTAAAAAACCGCGCCACGATCCTAGTTAATCAATATAATGCTCACTTACACACTAATATCACATACATACCACTAAAGGGCACTGGTAGCCTCGGGCTACACGGAGAATAGACAAGCTCTGACTGGGAGAAGACTGGGACTTCAAGCACACACGTGTTGTCCTCAAAACACATCTTGATGTTCAGGTCAATCACCAGCTTCTGGGAGGCAGGGATGTGCTCAACTTTGTACCTGTGATATTATTTGATAAGCCACTGATCTAAATATTGTATGAAAGGTATCCTTAAGTGGCTAAACAATTAAATACGTTCTGACCAGTGACTTTCAATTTCACATTAGGTGAGATGGGTATCGGGCTCATTTTCATGGCAGCTGAATGTGGAAATATGAGGATTTGTTATGACACGGCACAAAAAGAGGAGAGAAGGGATTGTTTGGACTCCACTGACACTGATACATGCTTTCGATCCGTTTCAACCATTCCTAAGATTATTGGTAAGTATTTGAAAAAAATTGAATGGATATTTCTTATTGTGGTGCAAACATTACAAATAGCTTACCATAGACCTAAAATAAAACAGGCTCTGGTGTTATTATTATTATTTAAATTATCCCTGAATAAATGTTGTAAGAATTTAGCAATAAAGGATAACACAAAGGCACAGATGTTTGACTCAACATGTATCACAGCAGGTACAGTCACATGAACAAACTGGCATCTGATACTCACGCCAGCCGTGTCATATCTCCCAGGATGAAATGTTCTTCCGTGCCTGGAACAGAACGGAAAGTGCTTTTGAGCACAACTCGTTTTGTTAATATAGCTATACATTAAGTGAGGGATTAGAATTTTGTGCAGCTTTGATCAGTATTTCAGCTTCATGTTCGAAAAAGCACAAAGTTACACAGGTCGAAAATATATACTATTATGGTGAGTTTTAAATCACACATGTAGTGTTAACAATTCATGGATCATAATTTGGGTGAATTAGATATTGGACGCCCTGATCCAGTCCAGGCAAAATGTTTGACGGTGGCATAAAATGGAACAGACAAGAAATAGTTATTCGATTGTGGTGCACTTGATACGGGTATCATAGTTATGTTTTCAACCTTATGTTTGCAGTGTTTCGGCGACTGTTTTCAGCGTAGTAACGTTATGATAACGTTTGAAATGTTTTGATCAAATCCAATATTCAAGTGTATACTTTCTTTTGCCCGGCATTTGACTACTTTGCACAAAGGATTGCAGTTTAGACCATTGCTCCAACCTGCTTCCGCGCCCATATAGCATTCAGATTTGTGAGAAATGAATAAACAATATAGTGCAGAAAATCACAAAGGCTTGTACAGTTCTGTAGATATAGATATTTACCCCATTCATACGCCAGGAGTGACACAGTGTAAGACAGTTTTTCTATGGTCATTGTGATCTGAAGGTTACAAACATCCACATCAAACTTGGCATGGATGGTCCTCTTGATGAGAGGAACATCGACACAACAGTCAACAGTTGAACAGTTGGAGGTCAGGTGACATCGCACAGAGTCTGGTAGGGATGGTACGGCTCGGCTCCTACATTCTGGAAACACAGAAATATGGACGGTTCTTTTATCATGTACAATGTTGAAGGTTTACTGTAATTGACGGTGGTGTGAGATTGCTGATGTCATTACATCACTTTTCCTTGACGTACATTTGGCAGTCATTAACTCTTTCCGCAATTACCTGATAATGGAGCTTATAAGGGTCGGAAACGATATACGATGTCACTAATGCGTGTATCCAAAACGTTTATAGAAATGTGTAGGTATTTGAACCATATGGATCATTCAAAAGATATGTAGAACCCAATGACACTCACTGGAGAAATAGCTGTAGATTTAATCTGGCTTCAGTTATCCTGAATTCATCAATTCAGTTTTACGATCACGGACATATTTGTCCTCCTCCTCAATCAGGATATATCAAGATGCAAATCAACACACAATAACGATTTGTTCGCGAAGAGGTCACATGGAACTACGTCAGTTGGCCTTGAGGCTGTTTGAAAAATACAGTAACACACCGCCCTTAACATTGTCCTACTAAATATTAATACACTTGCCATTATTCCAGTTTTTTACCCCAGCAGGGGAATATGGACTTGCTGACTGGTCACAGGCTGGAGTGAGGAGATACTGTGACACCCCGAGATCATCCAGGAGCTGAGATATCAGAGTATCAGAGAGAGAAGACACGGCGGAGGACAGGCCCTTGCCTGATGCCCAGCTGGACAATGAGAAATCTGGAACAACCATGTGAATTTAGTTTCTGCCAATTGCTCAATCAATAAAAATGCTTTTTTTGTCGAACGACTGGGGGGAATAAACAGATGTTTACACTTTACTATATCCTGTAAGTCACTTGAAAATATAT